CGGAGACAAGAACACAAAGTTCTTCCACCGAAGAGCTTCAGACAGGAGAGTAAAAAACATGATTAAAAGACTCAAGGATGAAGATGGAAGGGTCTGTGTAGGCCAAGAGGAAGTGACACGCTGGATAGTGAACTTCTATAAGAAGTTGCATGCTTCTGAAGAAAGATCAGGGTCTAGCACAGTAATAGATGCAATACTACAAAAGGTCACAACAGCTATGAATGAGGAACTGCTAAAGTCCTTACGAAGGAAGAAATCTGGCTAGCTCTCAAGACAATGGGGCCTTTAAAAGCTCCAGGGGCTGATGGTATGCCAGCTCTCTTTTTTCAGAGGAACTGGGATATTATGGTGGAGGTGATCACTATTGGATTACAGGGCTACTTCGAGGCTGGTAGCTTCCCACAGGAGTTGAACCACACCCTCATAGCTTTAATTCCAAAGAGGAAAACCCCCCAAACCCCTGTGGATTTTCGTCCCATTAGTCTATGCAAAGTACTTTATAAAATTCTTTCTAAAGTACTTGCTAATAGACTGATCAAAGGGGTATTGAATGAGGTAATTGTCCCTAACCAAAGTGCTTTTGTACCGGGTAGGCTGATAGCGGATAATGTTATGATAGCTTTTGAGTGTTTTCACTCCATGAAAACAAGAAATTCGGGCAACAAGGGCTTCATGGCTGCTAAACTCGATATCACTAAAGCTTACGACGGAGTGTAGTAGGATTTTCTAGAGGCTATTATGCTCAAGTTGGGCTTTGACTCTCGATGGGTGCAAATGCTCATGGACTGTGTCACTACTGTTTCTTTTTCCACTCTGGTAAATGGCCACCAAACTGAGACTTTCTACCCTAGTAGAGGTCTTAGACAGGGAGACCCTATTTCTCCCTATCTATTCATGTTCGTGGTAGAAGGTCTCTCAGCATTGATTACCAAAGACGAGAGAGAAAAGCATATAGCAGGAATCAGAGTGAAAAAGAATGCACCTCAGATTTCTCATCTACTATTTGCTAATGACAGCATTCTTTTCACAAGGGCAAATAAGGCTGAATGCAAGAAAGTAAGAACAATTCTCAGTTTATATGAAGCAGACAAAGCTGAGCTATCTTTAAGTCCTAATATAAGACAGGGACGGAGAAGGGAGCTGGCTGTAATGCTGAATATGAGAATTGTAGATAATCACCAGAAATATCTGGGCCTACCTACTATCATAGGTCGATCGAAAAAGCAGATTTTTGGCTAACTAGTTGGCAGAGTTAGATCGAAAGTGAAAGCTTGGAAAGAGAAACTACTATCTGTGGCAGGGAAAGAGTTTCTAATCAAATCTATAGAAGAGGCTCAACTGACGAATGGAATGTCTGTCTTCCAGCTTCCTATTAGCACCGTAAAATAAATAAAAAGAGCTATTGCTCAATTTTGGTGGGGCAGTAGGAGGAAGGGAGGACTCACTGGCTAAACTAGAAGAAATTATGAAAACCGAAGAAGTTGGGTGGAATGGGCTTTAGAAATCTACAAAGTTTCAACTTAGCTCTGCTGGGGAAGCAACTATGGCGCCTATCCTGACACTTTGAGGATCGAGACCCTCTAGAAGTAGAAGTTGGCAGGAATCCAAGATTGGTTTGGCGTGGTCTAATGGCTGCTAAAGAACTGGTTAAACGAGATATGAGGTGGAGAGTGGGGAATAGCAACAAGATCGATATTTGGATTGACAAGGCAATTGTAGTCTAGAGAGGAAGCAAAGGCAAGAAATGGCCATGTTCTTCTCATGTGAGGATAGTTTCCCTTCCCCATGTCGCCATGTGCTATCTGTTCAATCCATATACATACCTCTTCTTCCCAATTGATCCCAATCCAATCCAATCCCTCTGCATGTTGTCTGCATGCCTGCCTACCCATAGGCCCATTCCCTTTTCAACCTCTACTCTTCTTTAACTTCTTTGCTGAATGAATGAATATATCGTTTATCACCAAGTCACCAACCATCCGTCTTGTTATTCTATCTTTTAGCTTAATTTATGCATAGGATTCCACTTGTTCCATTCAACTCTCTGCATATATCCCTCTAGCTAGGCACCAACTCTGAATATTCTCCTACACCACTCTTCACTTCTTTTTTACTAGATAATATTCTTTAATTTTACATGATAACCTGAACTATACTATAGAACAAGGATTGATTCTATTCATTTTTCTTTTTTTCTTTTTTGTCTTACGACTTATGTGTGTGTCGTTGCTTATTTTTACATATATAGAAAACCCCATTAAACTCCATTAGGAAAAGTAAATGCAAACTAGAATTGTGAAGTTTGAGAACAGAAATAAATAGAGATGTTATTAAGAAGATTGAATAAAATTCATGGGCAATTTTATTCAAACTTACATGAACCCATTAGTTATAGATAGAGTTTGACCCTATGTTTTTTAAGAGGGGAAAAGGAAGAGAAAGGAAAGTATGGGAGGAAAGTGTGGTTCCCAACGTGTTTTCCATTGTTCTTTTACAAGGTAACAGTAGCAAGGGGAAAGAAATCTGATGGAAAATTTATTGTGGATGCCTACCCTCCAAATTGAAGAGAAAGGCTCCTATATGTATACTTATTATTGTTTTCTTTTAACCCATCGCCTATCCCAATGGTGGTGGAATTTGTCAAATGTAATATTTGTTTTTTTTCTTTTCTCTCTCGTAATTATTTTGTGCTCTATTTTTGTTGCTTTTTAATATGGGGTATTGTGCATTTGTTAGGGAAAAAACAAGTTTGATAATTTTTTACCATTTTTAATCTACATTTTGGTCTCATTTAATACAGCTTCAACTGTCATGGAATGTTAGCCAGTTGAATGTAGTATAATTGGTGTAGGTTATGAAACCAGTAGGCATATTAACACACACAAAAAACGTCGTTTAAATAAAATAACGTCGTTTTAGTTAATCTAATTAACACAAAAAAAAATATCGTTTTTGTAAAATCATATAGTACTGTACCGGCGATTCTACCGCACCAAACAGTTGTTAAAGTGAATGATATTTCGTATAGAGGAAATTTTTTATTAGTGAACCAAGTAATGAAAATACTATCAACACATAACTAAACTATTTTACTATTATATAATCAATAAAATAACATATCTATCCCACTTCCCAATATACTTTTTCTCTCCTACTTTTCCCCTCACTTTCCTCCATAAAACAACATTTTCATTTCTTTCCAATTTTCCTTCCCTTGCATTTTCCTCCTCTCCTAATTTTCCTTCCCCTCCATTTTCCTCCCTTCTTTCGAAGAATTTTCATCAATATTTTTGGACTTATTTGGAATTTTTTTTAAGCCTAGGTTTTAATTTAGAATTGGATATGGGTAAATAACTCGAATTGGGCTAAAATACAAGGACTTTTTTTCAGAAATAGCACTGTTTAAAAAAATTTGCAAAAATACCACCCAACCCCAAAAAATTCCAAAAATACCACCTTTTTTCAAAAACCGCCTCCCCACCCTACGGTTTACCCGCAAAGGCGGGGGCGCGGTTTTCAATGAAAACCGCATGGTTACGGGGCGGTTTTGAAAATCGTCGGGTGGGGACGGTTTTCGGCGAAACCGCCACCCCACCCAGCGGTTTTGGTCCAAAAAAATTTTCGATCAACTCCTAACCTCGTCCAAAACTTCAAACGAACGTAACTTTGCACTCAGGAATCCAATCACAGCAATTTTTTTTTTAATCCGCATAACTTTTCAAGATCTTGCAAGCCACAAACCGTCGTGCTCCCTCCTCCGTCCCAAAAAAACCGCCGTTTGCTACCCCGAACGAATTTTTTTCCGATTTCGTCAAACTTTGGACGGCCATAACTTTGTGTTCCAAAATCCGAACGTCACAAACTTTTTTTAAATTCAGCATAACTTAATAAGATCTACAAGTTTTACTAGGATGAAATTTTCAAAATAGGAATTAGTTTTGGATATACGGGATCTTGGGAATAACTTTACCTTTACTTTTCACAAATCCATGTACATTCCGAAATTATGGCTATGATAAAAGTTGTAGTATAGATTAGGTAGGAAAATTATAATTATGGTTAGTAGAGATTTATTCGTATTAGGATTATTATTAAGGTTTTTCAGTAATTCCCTATAAATATGTACTTTGGGTTTACGTCACAAGGAATCAAGAAAAATATTCAGAAGAATCTCCTAAACCCTAGTCATCCTCTCAATTCCTAATTTCTCGTCTCAACCAATCCAAGGCCTCGGCCGATTCTTTATTTATTATGTTCTTTCTCATCTAAATCCCTAATTCTTTCTCTCAACCCTAAATCCCTATTTGTTACGTATAAATACGGGTGCCGAAGATCAGTCCCGTGAGACCCTAAGAAGCGGGTTTCTCACAGTGGTATCAGAGCCCGGTTGTGGTACTCGTACCATGGCTTCGACCAACTTCGATCTCTCAATTGAAGAACTCACAAAGATTCTTAGAATGAAGTTGGAGGCTACAAGAATGGAGATGAGTTCAATCTCACCTCCAACTGCAGCCGTTATCGAACCGCTAGTCGCTGAAACGGATTTTGAAGATTGGTTGGAGCAACCAGCGTTCCCAATCGAGTTCATGCAAGGGGAAACCACCGCCACTGTGAAGGCCGAGAAAGAAGCTGCAGTGGCTCCTGCGACATCACCATCATCGCTGGTCGTTCCCCCACCAATCGAGACGAAGTCGGAGATTGACGAGTCCCCCGCGAAAGAAACGCCTTCATTGCTGCCCGTCACGATAGGCTTGCTCAAGGAAGAAGCGGATCTTGTTGTCCCTGCTATTGTTCCCAGCAAGGAGAAAGCATCTATTTTGGAAAAGCACAATGCTAAAGTTACAGGGAGAAGGTCAACGCCAAGCTTCCTTGCAAACTTCAGATTTCGGAAGAAAAACTCGGCCAGTACGGAAATCAACGAAGCCGAGTAGTTGGCGCTATAGCAGACGGGTCCGATTGAGCCCCAAGCCACCAGCCGAGAAAGAAGAACCGGCGAAAGCATGCGTTGCGAGTCCTTGCCATTCGCCCCAACAGTCGAGACCCAATCGGCCAGAAGCTCGGGCACGCCGATGGTCCAAATCGGCGGCGGGAAGGAGTCCATGTGCGAAGCAGAGATGACGACGAGCCTTTGGGAGGGTTCGTCGGAATCGAGAATTCCGACAGGAGCTCGGCGCTCGACGGCGCCACCGACGGCCAGGAAGAGTGAACCGGAGTCGGACATCGAGACCCCGACATCGTCTCAAGGAAGTCAGTGGGCACGACCATCACCGACGGCACCCTTAATTGCGATGAACGGAGACTGGGCGGAGTCGAGGAATCTCGTGCGTTCGAGATTGGTTCCGCGCCGCGAGATTGTAGTCTCGCCGAAGAGGAGAAGCGCGAGAAGGGAGCAGCGATCCTCGACGGTTGGAGAAGAAGCACAACGGCGGGATCCCCTGCTCGCCGCCGAAGAAGACGACGGTACGAAGCCACCGATGCCGTGATCCGCCCTCTTCCCAGTGGAGACGAGAAGCGCCGGGTCGGACCTCACTCCTACCCGCCTGAAGAACTCGTTGATGGAAATGGAGACGATGATGAAGATCGCCGGAGTAATGCCGCCGGGGGAAAAGACGGAGAAGGAGCTGTCGACGAGGGGAGCCCCGGAGCAGTGGAGAACAAAGAGAGGTGGCGGCTACCCTTCCCTCACAAACCCTAGGGCGCGGGACGTGGATCCGCGTCGCATAGCAGCTGGGCGGCCATTGGGCCGAGTAGACTTGGGCCGCATATCTGGTCTCTCTGATGGGTCAAGGAAGGAAGAAGAGCCCATCATTCAGGGTTAGACGATGGATCGAGAGAAGAGGATAGCTAGGTTCTCACTGGACCAAGAAGATCAGCAGGCCGAGTTGAGTGTTGAGCCGAGTTGGGCTTTATAGGGCCCAATTCCTAGGCCACCCAAGGATAGTTTAATAAGTGCTCTCTTATATGGTGTTGGGCCAAATCAGAAGGAGGACTTAAGCCCAACGTAGGCTCTGATTTAAAAGAGATGGGATTGGAAGAAAAGAAGGAAGGAGTTATGAGGTTGGCAAGTGGACTTGCAAGCCCAAACGAAATTAAGAAGAAGAAGAGCGCCTCATTACTCCAGGCAATTGAGGGCCAAATCCAAGATGTAGGAAATGAAGGTTTGTTGAAGCTAGGGGTTATTCCCGCCACCAAGTCCATGGAGACAATTATGGATTACCAGGAAGAACAATTTTCCAATTCTTATTTTGTGGATTTCGAAAAGGAAAAAGGAGAATTGTTCGGCTATGAAGAACATGACACATGTCACGTGGGTGGAGAAGAGACAAGGAAAGTGGATTTCATTCAAGGGATCGAGCGCAATTGGAAACGAAGAAAGCGGAAGGTCAAGGAGGTAGAAGTCAACTACAACCTTTAGGTCAAGGTTGTTCTCAAGGGGGATGGATTGTCAGGAACACATTTATTTGGGGTTTCTATTAGGGTTAATACCCTCGTTTGGCATGAAGTATAGCGTTAGTGAAATTTCTGGCCCAAGTTTTCAAATAAGACATCTCTGGCCCACTTTTCAAATTATCGGACGAATTTGGCCTGTGGGACGGGTTGACTGTCAGATTTGACGGTCAACAATGTTCTCCATTGCTTACTCAGCATTGGACTCTGACGTGGCTTCTCCACGTCATTTATTTTTATTTCCCCTTTTATATCCATTTCTAATTCAGTAAGTTAAAAAAAAAAAAAACTAAAGGGAAAGGTGGAGACCACACACCCCATCTCTTTCCATTCTCCCTTCTTCCCCCGATACCCCACCCCCTCGTATCCCCTTCTCCGCCGCCGCCAATCCGACCCAAATCGCCGCCGCCAATCCGACCCAGAAGGTGCATAGCTAAGTATCTACTCAAAACCAATGGAAACCATCCATTACGAGATCAACTCCTTCACTGATCATAGTTAGAGATTCGATTCAACAATTGAACAGTGAAACTCTTAAGTCTAGACTTCAACTTCAGAAACCCACTTGACAGCAAAAATATTCAACCAGTAAAGTATCATTATCGATTGATTACCTTTAACCTTGTTGCAGAAAGGGCAAGCCTCGTACTGATACAGAACAACTTCCTTGGGTAAAAACTTAGGCAACTCCTTAGCGTGAACTTCCTGCGCCATAGACGAAGCCGCAACGGAGAAGAACATCGTCCCGACGACTCCAGCGGCGACGGAAGTCCCCGAGAGACCGAAATAATCAGACAATCTCCGAGAGAGGAACTGGGGACCTGAGCCAGAGGAAGTAGTGCTAAGCATCGCGGATCGGACCAGAAGGTTCGGCATGGCGGCGGCGATGGTGGCGGGGGATGTGCAGGATCCGGCGGCAATGCCGCGGCCATAGGTGGCGAGCCCGTGAACTCTCCTCATCGCTATTTGGACGAATTCGAAGCTACTACTATTGCTCGTCCTATCTTCGATTTCCTTCGGAGGAAACAGAACTTTCTAGGGTTTAGTCAGAATGGGTTTTACTTTTGCAGATGAATCGAGATTCAGATTTGCGTCTCCACCTTTCCCTTTAGTTTTTTTTTTTTTTTTTAACTTACTGAATTAGAAATGGATATAAAAGGGGAAATAAAAATAAATGACGTGGAGAAGCCACGTCAGAGTCCAATGCTGAGTAAGCAACGGAGAACATTGTTGACCGTCAAATCTGACAGTCAACCCGTCCCACAGGCCAAATTCGTCCGATAATTTGAAAAGTGGGCCAGAGATGTCTTATTTGAAAACTTGGGCCAGAAATGTCACTAACGCTATACTTCGTGCCAAACGAGGGTATTAACCCTTTCTATTATTATATTAGGTAGGATAATTATAATTATGGTTAGTAGAGATTTAGTCGTATTAGGATTATTATTAGGGTTTTCCAGTAATTCCCTATACATATGTACTTTGGGTTTACGTTATAAGAAATCAAGAACAATATTAAGAAGAATCTCCTAAACCCTAGTCATCCTCTCAACTCCTAATTTCTCGTCTCAACCAATCCACGGCCTCGGTCGATTCTTTATCTATTATGTTCTTTCTCATCTAAATCTCTAATTCTTTCTCTCAACCCTAAATCCCTATTTGTTACGTATAATTACGGGTGCCGAAGATCAGTCCCGAGAGACCCTAAGAAGCGGGTTTCTCACATTTTCACACAACTCATCTTACTTTGAATCTATGAGTCTAGGAAATGTCATTCAATCTAGGGAGGATAGTGTAGTGACTATGAATGATGTGATAGTCAATGAGATATAATGACAGTTTGATGTGTTTGAATGCTATGTTGTTTAGTTCATTCATAGATTTCGGATTATGCAAAAGAGTCTCCTGATTAAAAAAATTTCAAAAGGGTGAACTGTATCTTCAAGAAAAATTCAAAATCTAACTATCATATTGGTATCTTTTGAAATTTTCCATGCAATGTTGAGAAACAAAGTGCGAGGTAAGCCCAACGTACGAGACATCTTTTCATTGCAAAAAATCGAGTTGTGCAAGAAATATTAGCTGAGCTTTAGTGGGAAAGTCCTACAAGGTGATGCTAGTTCCTCTCTAGTACAAGTATAATTTCCACCCTTTGAATTGATTACCAACATGAGGATGTATTCTTAAGGGAATATATAAAGCTTTCCAAACCCCTTAATTTCATTTACCCTCTACACTAGTTGAGGTATAAGAGCTTCTAACTCTTGCTCAACCAATGAGGTTAAAGTTCAAAAAGAGATCTTCACCACAAGAAAATTTTGAAAAAAGAGAAAAAATAGTTGTTTGCAAGAGAAGAAAAATTGACAAAAAAAAAAAAGATAAAAAGAGTGTGGATCAAACGACTAGGGTGGGAGGACGATTGGGGTTTGCAAAAATTCTGGTTGAATTACGCGCAGATGGTGATTTCCCTGATCATATACTGATTTGGCCTACTGATGATTTCTCGATCAGGGTGGGGGTAACATACAGTCATTTGCCTCCAGTTTGTAAGATGTGCAAGACATTTGGGCTTGATTGTGGTTGTGTAAGGGAGGGAAAGGTATGGGTTCCGAAGGTTGTGGATTCTGTTTTGGTAGAGGAAATCACTCCAATGAAGAGTACTGCTAAAGGCAAAGAGGTTGTAGTGGAGGCTTTTGATAATGTGAATTGCTGGGTTAATGAGGTGGTGATTGGGTCCAATAGGGTTGAAGTGCCTTCAGGGAGTGCAAGGAACTGTATACAGGGGGTTAATCTTGAAGAATCATTCCAACATGTCTCTGAAGATTTGTCACCGAGGCTTCCTTCTGACTTGGAGTTTCAGAAAGTTGTACATGGGGCTAAACCGAGATGGTCTCCATTACCTAGTCCTACAAGTGTTCTATCTACTTCTCAGTCGTTTGCTGCATTGGAAGGGTTAAATGAGGATAAGGTGGTTCAACTCCAGGGGGCTCCAAAAAATGGTGGGAAGAAATCAGGGCTTAATCAGCCCTCTTCTCCCCCATGATTCTCCTTTTCTGGAATGTTAGAGGGTTCAACAAACCCTCTAAAAGGAAGGACCTGACTAGGGTTCTCCATAAGTGTAGAGTAGAAGTGGTAGCTGTTATTGAGACAAGGGTCAGGAAAGCAAAAGCTGAGGAAGTTGTAGAGAGTTTTTGCCAGGACTGGAAGAGACATCTAAATTATGTTGATTCTGAGCTTGGGAGAGTATGGCTTTTTTGGGATCCAGAAGTGGTAGATGTAAGGGTTTTGATCATGGGGAAACATTTTGTGCACTGTCTAGCTAAGTCGGTTAGTGGGGAGTCATTGTTTTTCACGGAGGTCTATGGCTCTAATGATGAATTGGAAAGGAGACAAACTTATCAAGACTTAGCTCAAACAAAGATCAGTGGTGCTCCATGAATAGTGAGTGGAGATTTTAATGCGGTATTGGCTCCTGAGGAAACCTCTAATCTATGTGTTCGAACTAGTTGTATGGATGATTTCTCTAACTGGGTAGCTGCAATGGATTTAATTGATCATAAAATGGTGGGGCCTCAATTCACATGGTCAAATAAACAGGTTAATAATCCGATAGCAAGGAAGTTAGATAGAGCATTGGTTAACGAAGATTGGCTTGATGCATTCCCTGAATGCAGAGTTGATTTACTCACTGCTTCATTTACTGATCATTGTGGTGTGCTGGTAGCATCTCAGCCAGGTCAGAAAACACTCCCTAAACCATTTAAATACTTTGAATTTTGGACAGAGGACCCTCAGTTCCTTCCTCTTATTCAAGAAGCTTGGGGGTTGGATGCTCAGGGATCCCCTATTATGGTGGTAAAGGCTAAACTGAATGAGGTGAAGAGGGTATTAAAGAAGTTCAATAAGGAAGTTTATGGGGATCTAAGTGGTCAAGTAAGGAATTTGGAGACTCAACTTAATTTGGTGCAGATTAATGTATTGAATGAACCAGGGGAACAAGTGTTTCAGGAGGTTGCTACTCTGGAAACAAAGCTGTGGGAATTGAAGAAGGCTGAAGAAAGCATGTATAAGCAAAAATCAAGGGTTGACTGGCTTGCTCTGGGTGAATGTAGTACTAATTACTTTAAGTTTGCAGTGAAAATTCGAAATGCCAAGAAAGCAATCAGGAAATTGGTGACTGAGTCTGGTGTGGAGTTGCTTGACAGTGAGCTGATTGCAGCCGAGGCTGTGCACTTTTATTCTTCTTCTTTTGGCAAAGTGGACTCTCTAGTACATCCAAATAGAGAGAAGCTTGAGGGTTTAATTCAAAAGAGATTATCTGATGATGAAAGGAGCTTTCTTTGTCTTTCATTTACCCCTGCAGATGTGTGGAATGTAGTTAAGCATATGGATCCTCATAAAGCCCCGGGCCCAGATGGTTTCTCTGCTGGGTTTTATAGGAAAACCTAGTCTATCATTGGAGGAGATATTACAAATGCAGTATTGGACTTCTTTCATTCAGGGCGCCTTCCAGGTAGTGTTAACTCTGCTGCCATCTCTCTACTACCCAAAATCCCTTCAGCTTGTGCTCTTAAGGATTTTAGACTCATTTCCTGCATTAATCTTCTTTATAAGATTATTGCAAAGTTGCTGGCAACTCGTTTGAAGAAGGTCTTACCCTCAGTAATTAGTGGCAATCAGTCTGCTTTTATAGAGGGTAGGAGAATTATTGATAATATTCTTATGGCCCAGGAATTGGTTAGTGGTTATCATAAAAAGCATTTGTCATCAAGGTGTGCTATAAAAGTTGATTTGATGAAAGCGTTTGATTCAGTTAGTTGGGAATATCTCTTCTTAATGTTGTCTGTCATGGGTTTCCCAAATCAGTTCATTAGATGGATATCATTGTGTGTCAAAACTGCTCGGTTTAGTATATCTGTGAATGGTGGTTTGTGTGGTTACTTTGGTGCTAAACGTGGGGTTAGACAAGGGGATCCTTTATCCCCTTATCTATTCACTATTACCGTGGAGGGTCTGACAGTTGCTCTTAATGCTGCGGCATGTTCTGGTCTTGTTCCTTACCACCCTCAATGTAAAAGAGTCCAGTTAACACATCTTTGCTTCGTTGATGATCTCCTAATTTTTACTGAGGGATCAGGGCGCGCTATTGCTGATATTAAGAACATTCTCCATGAATTTTATGGAATGTCTGGGCTGCAATGTAATCCTCGTAAGTGTGAGGTATACTTTGGGGGGTGTTCAGTTGATTTCAAGAAGCAAGCTTTGGAGGTTTCTGGTTTTCAGGGGGGTAAACTCCCAGTTCGTTATTTGGGACTTCCTCTCATCTCTGGAAAGCTCTCCTCTGCTGATTGTGACAGGTTGGTGGATAAAATTACTCAGAAAATTAAAAGTTGGAGGGTCAAAAAACTTAGTTATGCTGGTCGTTTACAACTCATATCATCTGCATTCATGGTAGTGATTCAGTACTGGATGCAAGTGTTCTTTCTTCCCAAGAAAGTGCTTAAACAGGTTCATAAAGTATGTTCCAACTTTTTATGGCATGGTGGGGATGAGGGGAAGGCTAAGGTTAGCTGGGAAAGACTAGCAAGACCAAGACAAGAAGGAGGTGTGGGGCTTAAGGAGCTGTTTTCATGGAATCAAGCTTGTACCACCAGAATGATTTGGATTCTGCTCATGCAGAGTGGAACCATTTGGGTGGCCTAGATTTTGAATTATCGGATTAAAGCAGATAGCATTTGGACAATAAGGCCCTCTTCTGGTAGTTCTTGGACTTGGAAACGTATTCTGAAAGTTAGGACAGATGTTCAAAATCATTTCTCAGGTCAGGGGAGCTCCTTGTGCTGGGATGGCTCACCTATGCAGAGGTACTCGGTTGGTCGGGTTTGGGAATCCATTAGAGTGAAATGGCCCAAGGTGAATTGGCACAAGCTGATCTGGGGAAAAGGATTTATTCCTGGTCCTAGTTTCTTAGCTTGGTTGGCTCTCCAGGATAGTATCATTATCAAAGATAAACTGATAAAATGGGGCAAGCAGATTGATAGTTTGTGCGTTTTATGTTGCAATAGGCCTGAATCAAGAGAACATCTTTTCTTTGATTGTTCTTACTCAAGGGAGGTATTAAGATTGGTACACTGTGAGAATTGGTTTTGCAGGGGTGACTGGTCTGGAACTTTGTCAGCAGCATGTATGCTGAGTCACAAGAACACAGCTGCAGGGAGACAGGTGGGGAAGATATGGTGTATGAGTACTGGTATGATTTGGAAAGAAAGGTGCAAGAGAGTGCATGGGGATACAGGCTGCAGTGCTGAGCTACTGGGCAAGATGATATTGCTGGATTTAAAGTTCATATGTCTGTTTAATGACACTGTGAAAAGTGATTTGCAAAGGTTAGGGTTTGGGGTTTGATTCTGTTTTGTTTTTTGTGTATGAGTGTAGTGGTGTGGAGGGTTCTGAGATAGGCTGTCCTGTTTTGCTGTTGTTTTGCTTGCAGGGAAATTTTCTCCCTTTAGTTGTATCAGACGTCTGTTTCTTATTAATGGGAAGAACTGATTCAACGAAGAAAAAAAAATCTTAAAGGGTATGTCAAGTTCATTGTAGAAGCATTTAAAGTTCAAAAATGTTTATCAAAAGCATCACCCTTTGGTTTTGGGACCCTAATGCATGGTTAGTTGTTTAAACATGGATTGGATTGTATGATGTTCTTGCATGTTGATGTGGTTATGACTCTTTCGTGCTATTATGGACCTTGTAAGTTACTTATGATCCACTACAAAGATCGAGATTGAGTGATGTTTTCTGGTTTTCATTGAGTTGTCTGATTGTGAGTAGTATTTTCTTGGGACAAGCAAAGTTCAAGTGTGTGGTATTTCGTATGACACTTTATTTAATTTTTATCACTCTCATATTTGATATATTTTTTATTTATATCAATAGCTATTTAGTGGTTTTGATGATATTTCATATGGAATTCATAACTATTTGATTAAGGTGCTTATGATTAGGGCTGAGAATCGATGCGGTTTTGGTTACTCCGAATCGACCGGTCGCTTAACCGCCACAGATATGAGGCTGAAACAAGCAATCGCAACTGCAACCGATAGCCTTATCGGTTCACCGCAACCAATAACCGGTTACGTTGGTTTGGTTAATCGGTTGCCCGCCCACTCAATAATTAATAATAAGAAATCAAAAACTAATCCTTTTTTAATATGGCCCCCTTCCTTCTTCGATCTTTTCGCCTTTCCTTTTCTTCCAGATCGAGCCTTCCTTTTCTTCTTACGAAATTGATTTCTTTCCATCTTTCTTCTTCCATATTGAACCATGCTTCATCATCAACCCATAAAACCCTCACCTCCATAAATTGTTTTCCTTCTTGAATCTTGCCCACAGATCCTCCGCCACGTCAAGAAGGTTGGGAGATACTGTTGGGTTTGTTGAGGTCAGCGAGAAGAGGTTGTCGAGTGGCGATTTGGGTCGGCGAGTGGAGATTGGGATCGGCGAGAAGGCGATTGTTGAGATTGGGGTCGGCGTAGGTCGTGAGATGAAAGCCTCGAGGCCGGCGAAAAAGGACGACAGACGGCGGGGCAACGACAGAGATGCTTGAAATCGGGGTTCATGGAGGAGGGGAAAATGATTTGGATTGTGGTGGAGGGGAAAAGAGGAAGAGGAAGAGGAAGAGGAAGAGGAAGAGGAATCACAGAGGAGGAGCGGAAGAATTCGATCTGTGGGGTTGTGGAGGGGAAAAGAAGATGAGGAAGGGAGAGGAATAGTTCGATCTGGATGGGGGAGTAGAGCCCGTCGGTTATATATCGGTGCACCGATCTTTAATCAGTTACCAACTGATAACCGGCGGTTAGCTAATAACCTAAATCTTCCCAACCGAATTCGAGACGAACATGTTTTTATCAGTTTTCGGTTAGCCGACCAACCGAGTTTTTGGTTCGATTTCGGTGGACCAATTAACCGGTCACCGACTATCACCCCTACTTATGATAGACCTTGAGTGTGTTTCTGTAATATTTGATGCATTTTTTGTGATGCTTTATGCTTATCAAGGATATAATGCACTTAAGATGAATATGGATCACCAAGGGATCCAATGGATTGAACAAAAATACAAGCTCATGGGCTCAAACGAAGATGGATTTGGACATTGAATGCTCACTTTATGACCAAAACAAGCATATATGGTAGTGTAGCATACCCAATTTTGACCGAGGTCCAACCGGAATTATAAAAGTCAAGACACACCAAAATTTGGAGGAGAAGTTGCTTGCGAGCCTAGAAACCAAGGCCAAATGGAAAAAAGAGTGGTGGTCCCAACTGTTTCACCCTAGATGCTCAAACCCTAACTCTCTATAACCTTCTAGAAGAAGGTTGCTTCATCCCCAAGTTGAAGGAATCCAAGTTTGAGTCGTACAAGTAAGGTTTTGGCCGACTTAGGAGGAAAAAACTAGAAAACCTTCTTCTGTAACTAGTATAAATAAAAGATTATGCTAGAGCTTACATACAATACCTTTTACCAGCACTCTTCCCTATGGGCACGAGTAGCGATCCATAGAGAGAGGAGTGAAGACCTACTAGAGCTCAACTAGGAAGCATTCGTCGTCTATTCCTGTATCAATGGTGATGTTGTTATGCTCTCCTTTCTGTTGATTTCTTTAGGGATGTAATTTGATGATGCTTTATATACTAGTTCTATGATTTAATGAGATGTCTATTGTGTTTATTATTCTTATCATTGATGCTTGATGTCAATCTATGCTTGTATCATCTATTGCTTGAGTATTTGATTAATTGATTCTATGATGATTAGATGTTTTAGTTAATTGATGCTTATGATTCTATTATGCATTACTATATACATTGTTTATACTACTATTATGGGAAACAAGGAAACTAATCAATAACACATAAGCATTAATTGATTAGAGAATTACTGACCAAACCACCCAAACAACCAGACACATCCTCACCTTATCTCTCTCTCTGAAGCCCCTGCTTCCTCTTCGTCGGCTCCATTGACTACCGTTAAAACCCAGCATGTGAAAAGGGAGAAATCTCCACAAAAAAACTAAACTTCATAAAACCAATCACCAAAAAATCAACTATCTATTGATTACTAGATGCAAAATAACTAATCAATAGAAAAATGAACCAATGGATTCGAAAGCAAGAGAGGGTTAATGGTATAAGTAATAATCACAAGGAAGAAACAGCCAATTATATTGGGCTTCTGTTTTAGCATGTGAGTGAGAGAGAGCTTGCAGGTAGCTTTCATATACAACTGTTGTTCCGAACTCGCAATTATATCTTTTCCCGTTTCTGGGTTTGCATTGGTGAGTCACGAAGCTTGTATTCCTTTTTTGCAGAAGGGTTGTGGTTGGGTCGAGTCAGGTTGGGTATCAGTGGTCTGTCAGCTGCTCTCTGCCTGATGGTTAATGCTGATGTGGCCAAAAAAATATTATTTTATTTAGAGCATTAGTCAAACTAACGAAAACATGGACGGATATCCAAATATTAGCGATACCCGATACCCTACCTAACTTAAGTGGTATACCTCCCTCAATTCTCAAATTTACGTAGATCCGAGATATTTTACCCTAGTAACACCGGGGAGAGATACATTATAGTAAGAAAAGTCATAATCCACTCCTAAATTCTAAGCTACGATAAAAACAACACATTAAACTTGTAAACTTTTTGTGAAATAATTTTGCAAGCATCGGCCTCTTGTTCAGCTACCATGATCCGAGTCTCATGAGCCTCATCTTTTCGGTAGGGCTAGTAAATGATTATCCAGTTAATGGTGTAACCGATAATCGAAACAATGTTAGCAGTCACATCAAAACTGATTAAACAGTAAACGATCGGACCATAATAGCCATATTTAACAAATTACTAACTGATTGTTAAATGGTTAACCGACTAACCGATTACGATCATCCTTATAGCTAGGGCAGAAAATAATAGACCTCGATGAGCGGCATATTTTCTTCTCATCTCACTCATCCGTCAATGTTCTTACATGGAACCTGGAACCCACGCTGAGCACTGCCACCTCTAAAATGATTGAAGATTAATAGCCCCGTCGCAGCAAGTTCAACAAAGGCTGTATGATGCAATTTGTTTCTCTTAGCGACCAGCAGCAGCAGCCAATGCATCATCATTATCCACCTTCAACTGGCAAACATATACATCTACATATAAGCATCCCTATGGAAAATGACAGAACAAACACAATGGAAGCAAATACTGCAGAGCAGTGCATGCTTACCAGCCTTAGATGGCTATGCAAAGCTCCATGCAACAGTCTTTTGAGCTTCTCGGATTGATCAATCATGCCACCAGAAGTAATCGAATCCTCCAGTCGGCACCATAACAGCTCTATAGTGGAATATGGAAACCATGCCGCAAATGGTTTTTTACGATTAATTAGATTTGATGGTCTCTGCATACAAAATTAATAGTATGTCATTATCTGTCATGACACTGGAGGCTACACTATTGGACACCCCATGAGAAGAGCCAGAATTCTGAAGACAAAATCAATAATCCAACCAGTCTATTCAGCTGTACCATCTAACAAATGAGGTCAACACTTCCTTTCACAACACAGAAATATGCACTTAATACACATGCATACTAGCAGCAACAGGAAGCATGAATTTTTAGCGGCGACTCATTTTGTTTCAACATGCAGCACATGCTACCGAAGCACATAGCTTTACACAGTTGTGGTGTGAAACGTAGATCATAAACACAAAATCTCAACAAATCACAAGAATGAAGTAGTCGAAATTACCACAGTGGCAAACGAGTCTATATACTCAACCAAAAGATTTACAGCTTCCATATGCCGACCACAATCTACATATAGCCGGAGCAAGGCAGCAGCATTTGATTCTTGCCCAGTCATCCCAAATGTCCGGTCCTGGCAAGCATCCTGTTAAGCCATCACACCATCATATAAATATTACGATAATAAAATATACAAGTGTCGGTGCCACAGACAACATTGTCGACAGGGTATGCCTAACTCTAAAAGAAATTACATATGTTTCTTTACACGGAATCCAAAGTAAAGATGATAATTGAAGATTTCAATAAATGCATTCTGATGCTTCCTATGGAGAATGAGTGAAAATCTGAGAGCCTATATATCAAGCAGTTGCCAGCAAAAGATAATGCCAAAACTGGACTAGGATCACAATCCATCACAAGCAACAAATACCCTAGGGACTATATTATATTTCTTAAGGGTTCAACGATCTTAATCATCTCAAAGTTGAAACTAAAAGTGAAAGGCATTCTCAAGAAATCATCTAGACAAGAAATTCAGAAAAATAGAGGTCAGCTGGGTACCTTGAACATTTGAACAAGCCAAAGAGGCAATTCGATATGAGGATCTGTTCGGAGCAAAGTCTCAGCCACATTTACCGGCAATCCAGCATGAAATACTTTATACTTCCTCTGCAGCGGAAAAATAAAAGCACAGTTCATAAAAACAAGTTCATTTTAGTTAAACTCACCGTCGTAGAGTAGTTGCACATTGATACAGACAATATAAAACTCAAGAGTTGCCCATTGAGAGTTGCCGTTAGGTTGCTGATACATAGACCCCATTTCAGGTGAAGACTGAAACTTTTCTTCCGAGGATATTAAAACAAGTTGGTTCCTCCTGAAATAATACATGATCATTTTAAATGGTATACCAAACTGTATCCATTGTAGTACTAGTTTAAGGAGAAATTTTACTCTGTATACGAGCTGATTTTATTTGGACAGCATTTCAGTGACATAGCCGAGAAGATTCTTTCTAGTTCCCTGCACCAAGGCAAAAGTAAGTTGAGAAGCACGTTAAAGAACTCGTGTACTTCTGAGCCATCTGACATTACGAGTCTGTATCTTGAGAGATGTACCTCCTCAATGCTGAACCCTTGTAGTATTTCAAAATAATCGTGAATGCCATGTCATATAAGTTGGCCTGGACCAAGATGCTAACCAAAAGTGATGGGTCTTCTCTTCCTGATGCAAAACTTAAGCTCAATAATATATAAAAATTAAATAACGAGAAAAGAACCAGGAAGAAAAGAGCGCAGAGACATTGCTAGTTAATGTTGATTGCAAAAGGATTTTTGCTTATCCTCCTTGCATCAGAAACTTGCAAATTAAGGGCTCCAGTAAACCAGTGATAGCAATTCAGAGCACTTAAATCAACATTTAACACAATCGTAAACTTACTGTTATACACAAGAATTGAAAATAAGTCTTACCAGCTTTACCAGTGGACCTTGATTCAATATTTGCCAGTGACAGTGTATACTCAGCTGAAATTAGCACAAACTGATCCTGAAGTTTATCGAGGTCAATATAGGATTGCTCTTTCCGAGACAGGACATGATCATGAGCTACTGCACCGAAAGGAAAATATAAATCACCAACTTGCCCTATACACCAAATCCAGAATGAAACAGATAGAGAACATTTTATTTACAATAAAGAGGATATGAGTGAGCATGTCCAGTTGAGAAATATTTACAATGTTCCATCTCTGTCTTTTTGGACCTTTTATGTGGATAACCTTCAATTCGATTTATGTTTTTCTCAAATGGAGGCTCGATCCAAGCATATTCTGGATGAACAAGATGCAATGCATTGATCGCAGCTGATATACTGTTGATTCTCTCTTGCAGAACCCATGACAAGTGCTGTTGATCTGCATTCACCACTTCATTCTTTAGTCTGACTGAGTACTCGTAAATGTAACTTGCTGCCCTCCGCCAATTCTGCCGATGCATCTCAAATGCATAGAGGAGTTTATAGAGGTTAGGCTGTGCCGTAATAGTTGTGCGCTCTGCCTGCATATTTCAAGAAGAATTATTACTTGGACAAGTGGTGTTTGAAAAAAAAAAACAAGATCGCTCTTCTTCTACAACAAACCTTCCAGGCAAGCTCACACTCTATCTTGTCAGCTAAACCTGTAAACGGTAGTGTCCCATCGCAGAGAATCTAGCATCATAAGAAACAAAATTGAAGTCAGTCGGCGCAACCTACCACTAATTACATCTCATCTCATTTGGTGTGTAACAGCTACTTATTAGATGTTCACCAACTGTTGATGTCCTATTACTTGGACAGTATACAATTTTATATAAGGTACTGAAGTTCATAGAATACTAACACCTAGCATTCACATTAACTGTCTTACATTCAAGAGATAAGTACAATAAAATTTTATAAGGCATTTTTTTCAAAAGGGTTTGGAAAAAGAATTGGTGTGCATTCTGTGTGGGCTTAGAACATGTAATAATATCATGCATAGGCAGAATCGAACATGCTCACAATAAACTGTAATGTTGGCCTCAAACCTTCATTGCTCCGAGCTCATAAAGTACTATAATGAAACGCCGGAGGCAGATCTGCTTGCTCTCTTCATCCGGATTTGAGATTATTGTACAGTATGCATCATGGAAGCGATTCAGGTCTAAAGTAAACTTGAAAACATTTGACCACAACCGCCCCTTGATAGTAACCGCTGACTCATCAAGTGTACGACCCACATGAGATCCATCTCTTCGACTCGTAGCTTCATCAACTTGCTCAAGTGCAGCAAGAGCAAACTGGCAAGCACCTTCATTAAAATTATATTGCTCAAATATTTGCATGGCCCACTGGTAGTAGTGTAGCTTCCACGCAGCAGATGATACAGAATCATCTAAGGAAAAAGGGAAAAAGAATCAGTCAATCTATCAGTGATCATGTATCTTTGTAGAACCTCAGAGCACATATCATGACCAGCTCACCTAAGCAAAGAGGTGGTAATCCTGTGTCATGGGATAAAGCCTGCAAAGTTTTTGATGCTCGTTCTCCAGAAGAAACTCTAATTTCACAACACAGAAAATTCAATATAAACACGTATCTTACAAATAGAATAAATAATATAGGAAAGATAGGAGAACTATACAATCAGATCATTTATCACAATATGTATTCCCCAGCACGCTTACTAGTCTCTGAGTTCATCATTTGGAGAAAGCAGAGTCTTTCTTGTTAAATCCTACCTTAATAAGACCCCATGCACAAAGGCGGCCATATTATTAAAACGTGAGATGCATTGCAAATGCTTGACAGTTGTGAACGAAATGATAGCATTTAAGATTTATTTCCAGGATGCGGTACCGTGTGCAAGAATGAAATATTACATTAAGAACGGGTAGGCTTTTGGCCTTCCATTAGAAGAAATTATAGTATCTGATGTGTATTCACCAGTTACAGCAGTAGCGATAGGGAACATTAATGGGAAGAATGGACAAGTTGGATGATAGCAAGAATAGAGAAGGAAAGGAAATCAGAGTTCAACTTAAGCCATTGGTTTTAGAAAGCACAACCTGGTTCAAGACATTTGGAAGAAGAATACAGGGATACCAGAAGCATATCCAACTAAAGTTCTATCAAGATGTTACGCATTACCATAAGAAGTAACTAAATATAGCATTTCTGTCCTGTAGAACAGAAGAAAGTGAATGAAGTCTGAAAGGGAGATGTGACTGTATTCATCGAAAGATGTTGAAGAACAAATCTCAAGGACACTACCATATTTCGTTAAGGAAAGGCGACATGACAGAGGAAGACAAAGTTGCATTAACTGCTGCACATCACAACATGAAAATGCTAACCTGAAGAAACAACGAATTGCTTCATAAATTTTCCTTTCTTTCAGGATCCCAGGGCACCCAAATCGTGCCTGTGCAAGGAGACAACAACCTAAAAGGTGTTGTAGTACACACCAATCACCATCATTTTCTTGAAGACTTCTAAATATCTTCTCCCTCTGTACATTGGCCTCCACAACACTCAACAGACACTGAAACAGCAGATATAGAATTGAAGTCACTCAAGACACTACCAGAAGTGCTGCTGATACAAGTATAATTTCGAAAGCAAAAAAGATAAGCACCTCAGCAGCATAGTACTGGCCATGCCTGAGTAGGGTCAATCCAAGCTCGGCATAATGCCTCAACGGAGAATTTGATTCAACCATGGTATTGCCCCAAATTATCCAGCCAGTAAAGTGTTGTACCGCACTGATAATATAACTGGGATTTGGAAAATAATGCGATGAATGATGGTTCAGGCCTTGAGAAGAAGTTTGATTTGACATCAGAAGAATAAACGCCAAAGTAAAATCAAGTTTGCCAAATTTGTCGTGCCATGATCGTCTACCATTTTTGCTATCTGCTTCATGACAATCAAACAGCAAGAAGGCTCAGATATAGCCAGAAGACAACTTTCATGACATAAAAATGTAGCTAATATAAAAATAAAGGCATTATATTAGACCGCCAAGAATACCCCCACTCATAAACAAGCTAAGTATAAACCATTTAGGCATTTACAAGAGCTAATAACAGCCTTTCTTTTATTCAATTGTTATAATGTTGACTATGCAATCAACAGCAGTAAAGTGAGATGGCAGTTGAGCTGCTATTGGCGAGACAGAACAAGTCTTATTGCCCGTCAATATCGCCATGCTTCAGATACAAAAGATTTAAACATGAAGAGGTCTGATGCACCAGAAAATGAAGAAGCGGGCTCTGTGTGCATTTAACTTTCTTATTTTTTCAGAAAAGCATTTAAATGTCTATCCTTACAGGGCAGCTGTGTACCAGAAATATAAACTACTGGTGGTATTGATAATGATCAATTATAAAGAGTCTTTTACTTGATTGTAAGGCCCAGAAAAGACTGCAAGAGTCAAGTTCAGCTAAAAAGAAATTATTAGGAGCATTCAATTGTGACCTAGAACAAAAGCTATCTGTCAAAGACCAACTGCAGAAATAGCCATTTAGTCCAAAATATTAACACATACTGTACTTAATTTTCAACTAGCCATCATAGTAATGGAAGTATGCATCTGTCAGAAGGCAATCTGCAATGTAGTCCACACAATTACAATCTTACCAGAACTGGTCATTGTATCAACTTACCGATATGCAATGAAGAGAGTTGACAACTGAAGTCTTCAATCCCAGGAGACTCGGATGGCGTGGTGACCAGAAAGTAAATTATCAACCATTCAGAAACTATGTCCTGAATCATTGGAACTAATTCAAGTTGTATCCTGGATATATCAGCATGCAACATATTAATCTGCATCCAGAAGTCAAGGAAAAGTAACAGTGAATGTAAGTGGAAAGTGCAGCAACCCAATATGCAGAACCAAAATGATTTTCTTACAGGAGGCAGATCAGGATTCATCACTCAATTGCACATAATGAATCCTACCGGCCATCAGATTATTTTTGCAGCTATAGAATGGATAATATACTAACTTACCAGTAAACAAGCAAAGACTTAAAGTCAACGAAGGCGAACCAACATCAGTTAAGTATGTATTTTCGTGATACAGAGTAAGCATTGATGATGAACCACATTCATGATAGAGAAAACTCTAGTGTCCAACCGTAATAGCAAACCGAAGTAGGTTCAGATTTTCCAATTGAAAATAAAAAACCATGTCCCAGTAGCGGGTTCGCATAATCTCACTTACTGTCCTTTTCTTGAACTCTCTGGTAGGTATGCATAGCTTGGTTTTCTTCAGAGGTAAACCAAGAAAATAACCAACCAGCACATTCATAAATAAAATAAAAGGATTGGAACTCGGGCTGCAATAAGAGTACAATATTCATGGGGATCAAATAGTCCAAAGACAACGAAACTAAACCTAAAATTATTACAGGTAGTAGCAACTGAGGTGCCTAGAGTAAAAGCTGAGGTTGTTCACCAGAAGAACGATGCTATATGGATGAACAAATTTGCGCAAATGTTAGCAGATGTAGAATATCAATGAACTTCTTTTTACTACTACTGACCAATAGTTCATCGAAGAATAAGTGAGCAAATGTGGCAAAGCAGTAGTTGCTAGATGCAATAACATTGCACGAATAGTTTACAGAAGAATCTCAATGAGGATACATGTAAACAGGGAACAAATAAACTAACCAGAACTTAAGTAAATGAACCCTCACCTTTCCGCTAACGTTGAGAAGATATTTCACAAACAGAAGAATCTCCAATGCTGACACGAACATTGCCTGAGCAACTTGAGAAGTTGACTGCACCATGGCAGCCGTGCCAATTTTCATGGATTCTTCTGAGTCTAAACTTTTTAAGATTTTATGTGGTACAAGAAATTGGATGTAGCTCTCAATAGCATTTAAGACTTTTCCCCAAGAATTGGCCTTTCTAGACAATGCATGAAGAGATAAAATCATGCTGACCGAGAATTTCCTCAGATTCTTGTGATTAGATTCCTTTCCCAAATCAAAATCAGCACTAAGGTCGGAAAAGGGAACTAACGATGACGGTATACACCCAGTTTGCAAGATTTTCAGTAATTGAGAAACGACATCTTCCAAGGATATATTTGACTTGCTAACAAGGCCTTCATAGAGAATAGCAGAGGCAGTTTTCCCAAGTGACTGGCTCATACTAGTAACACATTTGAGTACTTCCAAAAGAATCGCATGCTCGCCATCACAAGATAATCCCAATTCAGGCTTCAAGAGATCAACAAATTCTTGAAGACAGCCTAGAACAGCATAAACAGAAATTAGAGAGTATAGACAGCTAAGACATGAAAAAGAGAAAAATAGTCTATAATTTTGTTGCAGAATACGGGTACATACCCTCAGCCATCAGTTCAATGTTTGCCATACTGCGAAACAAAGACAGAGAATCCTTTCTGATTAACACAACACCTCCTGTGAGAGGCTGAATTAGCAAACCACATGGTGAATTATTCTTGCACCAGTGACTGAAATATCGCCCAAAGAAATTCTTCCAAAAGTAGTATATCGATATTGAAGTTCGACCAAGACCCTGGAATAAAAAGGGATCACAGATCACAGGATTAGCCTACTTATAAGCTCTTAATCTCCCCAAATCTCAGGATGAGAAACCGTACTCTCATTGCACCAAAAAGAAAGAGATGCCAATTTAGCAACAAAACAGCTTGACAAACTGGGAAAGAAAAGCGGACAGTTACCTCATCATCTACAAGTGAGCCAATTTCCTTTTTCAGTCCATCAAAAGTCAATGACTGTAATTCAGTCTCAGTCCACTGTTTGTTGTAATCTAGTAGAGTTAAACGTAGAACATTACAGTGAAGAACCCCGGGGAGCAGCAGCCTTCGTAAGAATGTAGAGAAGATAAATGGCACTATCTGTTCCTGCCGAGGTTAGTGAAATAACATTGCAAGTAATCAATCACCAAGAGTATGATTATTGAACGGAGTAGCACCGAAGTTACATACACAAGAATTGCACACAGTTGCCCGGCTTTTATTGCCACACAGCATACCCTTTAACCAAGAACCCCTTCCATCTAGCACATACTATTTAGAACTTATTATAGCACTAAATTACAGAAAACTAACTTGGCCATCCTAGTAAATGTCAGGATACAAAATCATGAACGGGATCATGTCTATTGCTAGTTTCTGAAATTTAAAAGCAATATCTCCCTAATAGAATAGAACATTCATCACTCTTGCTGCTGATTGAGCCAATGCAAATTTCTTTTGCAAAATGTGTTCACCATGTATACCTTTGAAGAGGAAAAAATAGAATGGATCATCCAAAGGAGATCATCTGAAGAAAGCTCCGCATTTAGGAATAGCTGCTCGGCAACAAATTCTTCTTGCAAAGCATAGCAGCGAGCTTCTTTCCTATTACAGTTAACATATGTTCCATTAGATAAATCATTTGCAAGTGACAATTTCATTCAATGCTAAAGAAAAAGAGGGGAAACTCATATGATCATTTAAAAGAATTATATCAGAGTATCGAATAAGTAAAATTAGGGAGTGCAAAAGGAAACTCCACTTTAAATCAAACAATTGAACTTACACATCAATTTCCGTATGAAATATGTAATGAAATGCCAAACCATTATCTTTTAAAATCCAGATCCTGTCTGATGAAAGCTTTACATCAAGGCAATGTCCCTGACAAAATAACACAATGCATGAGAGAAGTAGACAAAATCCTCTTCATCTGGAATGAAAGTGGTGCAATTGAAGAAAATATAAAAGAAATGTTCCAATTATTGCACTTAAATAACAAAAAGTGACGAATCGAAAAACAAATGAACCACTCACTTCCTCCAGAGAGATGCTTGGCAACAAAGGTCCTAAAGATAATGTCATTCGATCCCCCAAACCATAGTGCAGGCTATATACACAAATCATCTCCGTGCTACATTCCTTCACAGATATATTCAAAATTGGGATGAATATAAATTATAAATCCACACAAGCAAACAAGCAGCACTCAATATCTAACGTAACAGCTCAATCTTACACACCATTAATTTTCATTTTATCACTCACTTTTCTCCAAATTAATACGCTGATATAGAACTTTCGTTCCTGTGCTCGAGGAAATGGGACAAAAATGAACAGCTAACATGCTGCGAACTTTAAATAAAGGTTCATGGAACAAGGAGCAAAATAATAATTACCAGAGCTAACATAGCAGAGATATTTCTAAGTATTACAAATTCCACAAGCAAAGTTTCAAAAGCGCTTTCTCCTTCCAGAAAACCCTACCCTTTCCTTCTCCAGCTAAGTCCATTTAGATTACAAATAAGGATGCATAATAAACATCGAAGTCTAAAAATAAGTAAACTGCCTCTTTGTACTATTTGCTTCATACACTTACAAGTTTAGAAAGAACAAAGTCCAGGAATTCATTTCCTTCTTCAACAAGCTTTCTATTGAATGTCTATGTTCAAATTACACAATTTTCTAGTAATCTCAAGCTATATTCAAATTCCGCATGACTAAAAAGGTACAGTGCATATGAACACTGTTGTCAAGTTGGAGAAAGAAAAATACTACAAACATTTTTCATATTCTAAGCACTATGAGAAAGAGCATGAGACATCCTCAAAGTTCATGAATGCGAAATATTATTCATGGGTAACAGGCTCACATCTATGAAAAAGAGCTATGTGACATATGAGAGAAAAGACAGAAGGTATAAGATTGAGCTGTTACGTTATATATTGAGCTCTGCGAAATATGTCAAAGCAAGCATCAAGTGAACTACAACAAACACTGCCTCAGAACATCAAAAAGAAAATCAGGGAAAATGAGAAAGCCAATTACCGGGCTCTTCCTCAGCAAGATGGCCAAGGGAATTCTGTCTGACTGATTGTTAGCTTCACTGACCCACAACCGTACAACTGCTGCACCTGAAGGTATAGTAATGAGAAGACAGAAGCATAGAAATCATAAAAATGGCCAAACTGGGAAAGAAAAGACAAACTCTATTAAAATCTTAAGTAGGGATGGCAGTGGGATGGGTTTGGTGCAGAATTTCCTAAATCCATCCCCATCTCTATTTTTTTATTTCTGACTTATACCCTCCCTGCCCACGCCATTTCCGGATACCTACAGAGAATTCCCGTGCATGTAGTACAGAGACTGAATGCGTGCTGGTATGGGTTTGGCAATAGCCGGGGCACCTAAACCCATCTCCGCCACTTTCTTTGTGGGTATTCTACATACCCGCCAACTCAGTCAATGGGGGAATTCCCTCGTCGACTTGATCGGGGATGGTCGGATACCCGCAGTTGTAGGTAGAATTGTCATCCCTCCTAAGGAGTGTGTCATTCTAGACTATATCAGAAAATTGCCATAAATTAAATGAGTCAATGAGCATAACCCTTCAGTTAACGTGAATTCTATAGTTTAGGACCCACTAACTTAGCCATGAATGAAAGGAAACATTTGCCCACAGATTACTCCAAAGTTCAACACATATACTCGCAGAGACAAGTACAAGCACAGCATTGCCCCGAAGAAGAGCTTGTTGTAGTCGTATTTGTTTTCCTTCATATTTCTTATTTTATGTTTCTAATAGATTCATAAATGTAGCGTTTACTAGTACGATTATTTTGGAATCAGGTTTCTCGCTTCCAGAGTTCATAAATCCTATTCAAGAAGGTCGCCTATGTGGGAAGAGATGGAGGGAAAAAAGAGATAGAGGATTGCATTTAAGTCTTTTGACTTGTTTTCCTCGAGTAGATTGTCAAAACCTTTTTGAGTAGATTCTCAGTGAGCAGCTACGTTAAAGTAATAACCAAAAGACGAGTGCGCAAGAAAATTTGGAGTGAATATCACAGATCTTACCTTCAGGACTTTGAACATTCATGCCTTGACTGAAAATTTTGCTATGGCTTAACAAATCCCAAATTTGTATCACCCCATTAGAATGAAGCACAAATACAAAGGGCACTCCGTGCAATTCCCTGATCACCAAATCCAGCACAGCTCCTACTGTCCTACCCCTGCATTGAATGCTTATGCATAAGTGTTCATACAGAAGAACAAGTCATTCTATAGTGACTGTTTCAATCTCATAAGTGTTATGGTGTGAAGCCATCATCCGATTTTCCATTTTGATTTTACATTATTAAAATAGTCATGGAAGTCCCTATAGTTCATTTCATTTCTAGGTTCTTTCATCCGTTCATATTTTGGTACAAGAAATGTACATAGTATCGTTGAGCAATTCAATGAGGACATTGTCATACTAAGCAGTTATACCCCAATCGCACCTTGACATGAAGCCCCATAAACGATTAATCCCTGAATCATCGCGCAACTCATTCACAAAACCTACAACACAAGCAGAAATCAGATTAACAGACAATGTGGGCCAGGGGAGGATTTCGATAATTGACAGACAATTACAAACCTGGAACAGCATGGTTCAGTAAGCTAAGACGGAAACAAGCAATAGATCCATCATTTCGCCCAACAACAAGGCAGCCAGCAGAGGCCGCGACACTAGTTATCGGTGCATTGGAGTAACTAGTCAAATCAAACTGAAACAGCTCATCGCCCGGGAAAATAGATGTGGAGGAGTAAGCAGAAGTAGTTCTGAGTTTTATAAGGTAGGCAACTCCAGAGACGGTCAGTACATATAGTGTGTATGGGTTGGTAAGAGTGGAACCATCCTGCTGTAACATACAGATTCCAGTATCAATAACATGGACAATGAAACGAGAAATACAAACACCCGCGAGAGGGTTATTACAAACCTGGTTTTGGTGGATATGAGCAAAAGAAGATAGGGAGTCAGGAAAAGTGATACGCAGTCCAATTTCGGGAAACTCCGACTCCGCAGAGAGCTCAAGCACCTCCAGCACGTTCGGGTGCGTCTTATGTATCCTCCTTTGAGAAACAAGTTCAGGATTTCAAATAGTAATTCTTAAACCAGAAAAGAAGGATATTGACTGAATGCAAATAGAATTGAAGATCATACCAGATGAAATAGAGAGGAGGATCTCCGACGACACAGCAGGAGGCACAATCGTCAGTGAGAGAAGGGAACTGCGGCGATGGTGGTGGCGATGAAGAACCAGAAGAAATGGCATTGCTGCGTGAAACAGGGAGAGGAAGAAAGAGTTCATGCCATTTGACGGAATCGCTGCCAGTGATTGGAACTTCCACACCGACTAGGGTCGACCTGCTCCCCATCCCAATTCTCCGTCTCTAAAACCTCCCAATCAGTATCTTATACTGAAAGTGGAGAAAGTCGAAGACTAACTGAAGAAAGGACCGCTTCAGCGAAAGTTGAGAACAAAGACAGGATTGGTAAGAGGAGTAAGGCGGGCACGCCGGTAAAGAGCAAACTGCAAATAGAAAGAAGAAGGAAAGAGCGGGTGGACGGGCGGGAAGAAAGAACCCTAACTCTGTTGACCTCCTCCCGACTGAGGGAGACCGGCAACTGAAACCCGAGCAGGGGACTGCTCTTCTCCTGCAGCCCAAAACGGTTCCCTTCTTTTGGGCTTCGCACTTGCTTCCCAATCCCGGCCAATTTTCATATATAGGTCTCAATCTCATCAGAAATACGCTCGGCCCAAATCTTTCTTAACGGGTTAATTGGCCGGTCGGTCACCGAGATTATCAAAAAAGTTCATGTTTGGTCACTCGAAATATCTATTGGCGGTATTTCAGTTTACTGAAACCGTTCACCTTTGATCACTCTCCGTTAGTCGCCGTCTATCTCCGTTAACAGAGTCCGTTAAGTGACGATGTGGCGGGTCGCATTATTTTTGGGTTAAATAGGATTGATTAGACGCTTTCGTTTGCCACGTCATCACTTAACGGACTTTGTTAACGGAGAAAGGCGGCGACTAACGGAGAGTGACCAAGATGAACGGTTTTAGTAAACTGAAGTACCACCAATGAATTTAAATATTTCGAGTGACCAAACATGAACGTTTGTAATCTCGGTAACAAACCATGCAATTAACCCCTTTCTTAATATTATCTTAGAAAATATTAGGGTACGAATTGCCAAACCTATTGGATTCATAATAATTAGCTAAATATTTTTTAATATATCAAAATATTAGTTATTTTTTGTTTTAATAATTTTGTAACTCCTTTTTTAATTAAAATACTAACTTTTGATACATTGACCTCCATTTGTCTCTTCTAAGTTAGTATAATGTTGTCATTACTAATATGATAAGTTTAGCTAATAAAAAAGAATGCGCGAATGATTTGGCTAATATTTAGTGTTTATCAAAAAATTATACGGCTTTTAAATTTACACCCATGCACATCGACCTCAAATGTTTTTTGTGCATACAGCCCAACAACTCTAAAACAAGTGGTTCCCCTTTTTTTCTCTACGTGGGCATCAGACGGTGTCGCCCACGGGCTAGCACGGCACGAGTACGGGTACGAAATAAATGGGTCGGTCCAGCACGAGTACGAATAATTTATGGGTCGCATCGGGCCTAAATTTCATGGGTACGGGCACGGCACGATATATAAGTGGGCCGTGTCGGGCCTAATATCTTCGAGACTTTATTGAGTATAAGAACATACATGGCACGAAAATAATATTAATTTGATAGAAAATAAATATAAAAAGAATTATTTGTTGTTTTTAGAAGTGTCATAAAGATAATTATTTGTTGTTCAAATATTACAAAACACAAGTAGAAAAATAATTATTTGTTGTTTTTAGAAGTGTCATAAAGATATATACGTAATTACTAACATGGGTAAAAATAGACAAAGAATTAAACAAAGCCAAATCACACTCACTATACTTCCAATTTTATTTTCCCTCTTATTTGTTACTTTTCTCGAACATTATCGGTTAATACTATCTTCCCCCGTCCAATTTTCACCTTCTTTTTCATTCAATTTTGTTTTCGTCCTTTTCATTAAACACGAATACGAGCATGGCACGAGCACGAATAGGCACGGCACGATTCGAACCGTGCCCGGGCCTGGGTCGGGCTTAGCAAAGTTAACAAATGGGCTTGCATGACACAACACGAAAACTGACGGGCCGTGCCAAGCACGACAAGAAATAAATGGGCCTGAAGCGTGCCTGTGCCGGCCCAAGCACGGCCCAGCGCCCATGTATAGTTGCGGCTGACTTTTCAGTGTAAGTCCATGTATTCCTCTTTAGGTGTGCCAAGCATTTAGGGTTTCAGATTTTAGCCTATACACATGCATGTTTGGCATTAGTCGTATTATCGTTAATATACAGTGAAATCATTTTTTCTTTGCATATTCATTTCTTCGATGGGCTTACACAAGAATTTCGAGCAATTTATCTAGACTAGTCTGGAAATCAAAGATTTTGTTAACATTTTTCTCTTCTTTTTACCTTGACTAATGACTTTGCATTGTCAACTTAAACTATTTGATGACAATAGGCAAATCCTATGTTGATGATCATAGATCTTACATTCTATACTTGAACTATTTGTCAATCGTAGTAAAAGGAGACGTTAACCATTAGATTGAAATTAATAGGGTGATGCAGGACATAGTATTATCTAAGAATTAATAATATTGAAACAGTAGATAATTAACTTAAGCAAAGAGTAGAGATTGGACAGGCACAAGATGTGTCTTATTGTATGCGTCCTTCGGGCTCACATATTCTAAACCTTCGAGTGCTTATGCCTTTTCTGATAATTCTTTCCCTGGGAAGTTTGGTCTAAGGAAGGGGATAAGGGGTCTCTTTCTGTCCATGGTTATCTGGTGAGGCTAACTAGGTATCCTCTTTCCGTGTGAGAAGCTATTTGCAATATATCCTTTCAATTCAAATGAAAGTAAAAAAGAGTAGCTTCCCTTGTTACAGCCAGCCATTTCTAGTCTTAAGCTAAGCGCATTCTAGGAGGAGGGGAATAAAGCAAGCCAGTTCCTTGTCTTCGTTCTGTCCGGTTGGATGGAGCGGATGTTGAAAGAGCTAGGATACCAATCGGTCAGGGCTACGCTAAACCTTTCACGAATAGGAAAGCATAGAAACTCAAGAAAGAGGTCGTAGTCTACCCGAGAGGTGTTAGCGTCCATGCAAGGAAGCAATCCAGGGCTGAAAACTTTTTTTTTTAGTCACGATCAGAATGAAAGGTAGTTCGCTTTTTCTCCCAGAGATGCTGGCCCTATCTAATCTTATCTAATAAGGGTCCAGCTCGTGACAATCCCGTTTATTGCGTCGAAACCAACCGGTGTGAACCGCTCATTTTCGAGGCGATGAAGGGGATACGAGCGTATAGCGTATAAAAAGAAAACTCTCGAACTCATATATGACCAAAGTACATAGGTTCAATGATCTTTTTATGTTTTTCCTTATTTCTCCTTTCTTGAACTCAAAAATAAAGATACGGAATCAATCGAACCATTCCAACTCGTTACAAAGGGCAATTGGTATATCAAACCAATCGAACAGAATCAAATCATGAAAAGGGGCAATTGATACATGGTAGATGCTCGCCACAACTAGACGTGATCTCTAGTTGACAAGAGAAACGTGAAACCCTCCTGGACTCCTTGACAAAAAGCTTGCACAATTGTTCACTAAGGAACACGAGTAAACACTCTAAACTTTTATTGATAACTTAAATGATGAATGATTTACAATGAAGAACTCGGCCCTATTTATAGGTTACATAACATCAATCCAAAACTAACAATGAAAGCAAATAAACACTTAAAAAAACTCCAAAATCCAAAAATTATAATCCTTCTCTACCAAATAATGGTCTTCCTTCTAGGCTAAGAAAATGGTATTGCTTTTAGGTTAAGGAACCCTCAAAGACCATCTATGCAACCACCTTCTTGTCCACTCAATCTCCCTTCACTTCCCTTTTTATCCACTCGATCTCCCAAGCCCATCTTCTCCCTTTGTTCTCCCTCCTTGTATTGAAGCAATACAATGGAGTTTCTTTGATTTGATCCACGTCCATATCATTAAAATGACGATCCAAATAGTTGGCAAATTCTTCCCTTAGCTTCTTTGCCCTTAGACGTGTGATTGGACCCTCTTGTCATGTTGTGATTTTACTTTGATGACCTCATCATACGTTATTGCTAGGTAAGCTCTATATGGCACAATAATGAATGCAAATTCACAGGTCGCTCCTCACTTTGTACCAAACCGAAGGAGTTTGACCCAAAGGGAGTTTCCCTTTCATGTCTTTCGCAGACATAACCTTTTGAAGTATATATGATGGTTTGCAGATAAATTTTGTTGGTTGTTGAGTAGTTGCTTCGTCCCCTCCCTTCCATTCACCGGTCGTTGGAGATTTGGTTGATCCTTCTTCTCTTGCAGTGGTGCCCGCTATAACGAATGTAGGCCCATTTTTAGGCAAAAGCGCCTCTCTAAAGATTTAACTAGCTTGACACATACTCAATCATCTTCACCATCGTTGTTGCCTTCCTTCGTTGGATTCATCTTCCAAAGAGAAAAGGAAAAAGGAAGAGGAGAGAGAAAAATGAATAACGTAAGCGAGAGAAAAAGACGAAGAAAAGGAAGAAGTGGCTATTCAAAAAGAAAACTATCAAAATTAAAGTTTTTTTTAAACTGCGGGACCCTGCCCAAAATCAATTATGTGGGTGGTTTGGCTCAACCCAGTCGAGTTGTCTCTGATTCCCTCGCGTATGAGGGAGCCCTTCCCATCTCCAATCGATCTTAACCCTCCATTGACAGCTCGCCCAGCGTGGATCTCAAGCACCTAACCTTTGTTGTGAGGACTTATTCGCCATCGGCCGGTAAGTGAACAACAACTCACAAATTATGTTGTGAGCAACATAACAAAATTGTTTGTCAGTTGTGTTAAGGGCGAAGTTGATTGCTGATTAGGTTTAAGCTACGTTGGCCTTAGGGAGGAATGGATTCAATTGGGCATGGTTGGGTTGGGCGGGCTAGGTTGTAGAATTAGAGCTTGGTGACCTAGGATTGGCTTTGATGTGGAGTACTGGGGTTTAGGGTGTAGGTTGGGGTACTGGGTTTGTGTCATCCGATTTTGTCGATCTTTATATCTTTAACTAGATTGGATGACCAGAGTTTTCTTCCTCTCATCCTGACTGGCAACTAAACCCAGTGGCGGTTCCATAAATTTTTTATAGGTGTGTCCTTTTTCAAAAATAAATTAAATTAAAAATAAATAATTCATAAATCAGAAAATATTCAACTAGTACAAATTTTCACAAAAGGCCACAACGTGTTTCTATTCTAAAAAAAAGAATATAAAATAGACTCTGTCTCTACACTGCTCAACAAATATGCTATTAGACAATAATTGACGAACTGATCGCATATTCGATTTCTAACATTGTTCTTGATGTAACTCAAAGTTGAAAAGACTCTTTCAACACTTGCCGTGTAACCGTAAAATCAATTCAAATTGAGGGTAGCCTATAATTAGTTTAATTGTTAGGTTTTGAAATAGTTGAGAATATGTTTACAATTAAACACTTGTCATATAGCATTTTTACTATTGCATAGTGTTTAAAATCAAACAACAAATGAGTTGCAATTTAATGAAGAATATGTTTAATAATAGTAGTGTCCTAGGATGGAATAACACATACTATCACTTATATTTTTTTAATATGCAAACTACTATCGAAAGTATGATAATAATTTTTTCAAATTTTAGAGATGTCCCGAATTACTAATTATATATTTTTTTATCTGTACGAAACTACTACCGGCGTTGAGTAATTAGTTTAACTGATGCAGTTTTAGGGAGGCTTTTGAAAGGATTGGTAGTATAGTGTTAGGAGGCACATTCGAGTATCCTGAGCATTATTGAAAATATCGAAACTACAAGCTTTATTACCCAACGCTCTCTCTTGTCTACCAGATGATCGAAAGCTTCTTATAAATCAATCCGAGATGAGTACGATTAGGGGCATGAAATGATCACTGCTATATATCTCCACAAGACACGATTGCTAGCCATCCTCGTACGCCATTGTTTTATCATAATTGTTAGGTTGCTTGCTTGTTATCATCATCATCATTCTAGGGGTTAATTATTAGTTTTAGGCTTTTAGGCTTTAGCCTATACATGTATTTTTTTTCCATTAGTCGTATTATCGTTCATGTCAGTGAAATTATTTTTTCTTTGGCCATTCATTTCTTCGATCTAGGAGTTTCGTAGATAATTAGAGTTGTTCTCTCTATTAAAGAGAGCTTCTGAAGAATTTCGAGCAATTTATCTAGATTAGTCTGGAATTCAATGATTCAATTAACATTTTTTCTTTCTTTTATCTTTTACTTTTAACTTATTTGATACACAATAAAATAAAGAAAATATAAATGTTATCATTAAAGGAAAAAAATACATGTGTTATAAGACTAACGGAAAGAACCAAAAGTTCTGAAGGCTGGACATGAAGGATAATTAAAATAAGTCTTATTTTCGTATATTTTTTCAGCTTTTGGTTGGGAACCTTACACCTTGACTATTGACTTTTTAAAATATTTGATCACAATTGGGAATTCGCAAATCTTATATTGATGATCATAGATCGTACATTCTAAACATGAACTATTTTTCTACAGTAGTAAAAGGAGACCACCGTCCACCAGATAGATGCCAAGACATGGTATTATGTAAGAATTAATAATATTGCAATATTAAATAATAATTAACTTAAGCCAAGACCAAGAGTAAGAGGCAGGACGGGCACATGATGTGTCTTATTGTATGCGTCCACCTCCTCCAGCAGGAAGGACGGAATATGTGTTGTTGTTGGTGGTGGTGGTGGTGGTGCAAGCAAGATCGGTGCCATAGTCGCATTCAGAGCAGTAGTAGATCCAGCAATTTTGAGGGACTTGTTTCCTGCATACGTCACAGGTGAAGATGGAGGAGGATGAGCTGCTGCTGCTAATTCCTTTTATGTCTAGGGAGGTGGAGGAAGAGAATAGGCTGAGCGGGTGCTGGTGGTCAACATGCTTTATGGTGTTGGGCAGGAAAGCACATGTAACATGGAGATTGAAGGACTGGCAGCTGGTGCTGGAGCAGCGGTAGGTGAAACCTGTGCCATAGTCGCCGCAGGCGTTGCATACGAACTTGGGGTACTCATCGTCATCATCTTCTTTAGGTGGGGTGTCAAGTAGAAGCATCGGGTGCTGATGGCCAGAGACATGATCCATGGGGAGTTGAAGCACCTTTGGCAACTCGAAGCATGATCTGTGAAGATAGAAGTCGTCGCAGCAGCTAGACGACTTGCGGCACCTGTAAGCTGAACCTGAGAGATCCAGCTCACAGCCGCTGCAGATCAACTCTTCTTCCTCTTTCACCTCGACGGGTCGCAGCGGGTGGGAGTGGCTGAAATGCTTCACGCACGGTCGTCTACTACGCATCATCTGTTGCCGCTGTTGGATTTCCAGCCTACCCAATAATGAGCTCGACGCTGACCCTTCGGTTGCTGCATCCATCTCTTATCTCAACTCAGCTCAATCTCGGATGTCCTTAGCTTAATTCAACTGTTATTTATATAGAGAGTCGCTAGCTAGCTAGCTGGCCGCTTAGTATCGAGCTAGAATACACGGTAGCTGCAAACCATGTGCGTTCGATGCGATTCTTCCACCATCTCTAGAATAGATACACGATCCACTACCTATGGCAGTTGCTACGCCGCAGCATCAGCAACTACGTGAACTTCATTTCAAGATGAAGTTAAATTACTTTTTCCCCAAATCAATTTATTTGGAAAAATGAAGGTCCCCCCCACCCCCATGGCTGACCATCTTTTAATTCTTTATTAATTCACAAGTATCACTGTTTTTTTTTATTATTATCAGTAACGTTAGCCCACGTAACATTTTGTGACAACGCAACCTAATAAATATATGAGTCACCTGCAATTAATTCAACGTCAACGGGTTTCAGTTGGATTCAAACATTGGATCTGCAATTTTCAAAGTATCACTGTTTTTTTTATTATCAGGAACGTTAGCCCACGTAACATTTTGTGACAACGCAACCTACTAAATATATGAGTCACCTGCAATTAATTCAACGCCAACGGATCTCAGTTGGATTCAAACATTGGATCTGCAATTTTCAAACTTTCACTGTCGCTGGAGCTATCATAAGGTTAGTAAGCAAGTAAAATCTAATGTCCCCTAGTGGCCTAGTTCACGTAATTACCCATTATTTTTCAATTTGAAAACTGAAAATGACCTAAGCCAAATAGAAAAGAAGACACCAATGTAATTTTCTGTGGATGGCATAAAATGTTTATGCATACTGTGACTTGCAAGTAGGGATGGCAATGGGGCGGGTTTTGCCAAACTCAAACACAAATTCATGGGTTTATCCGCCAAAAAAATCCGGGGTAAAATCCGTTGGGTTTGAAAAACTCAAATCCAACCCAACATGCTGGGTATCCGCGGGTTCATCGGTATCCGTGGATTTTTGCGGTGAAAAATTTACAATAACAAATTTCTTCCAAGTAAAAGTCTAACATCAATTTTCTCATAAAAATTATCCATACAAAAAAACACCAATCTAGAGCATACAAGCAAACCGTAAATTATCAGTACAAATTGTTCAAAATTAAAGATAAACATCTATAAATAACTTGATTAATTGACAGCTCGTTCTACCTTGTCAACTAAGCTTCTTCACTCTCCGCTCCATAATATCAACTTTATCGTACACAATTAGAACGAACAAATTAGACATGCCTCCACAAACATAAAGAAGATTAGTTGCTTAAGGAAGATATATTGTTTAGAATATTAAATCCACCGAAAAAATTAATTATATGAGTGTGGGCGGGTACCCATGGGGCGGGTTTGCCTAAACCCAAATCCAACCCAACCCAGTGATGGTGTAGCGGGTTTAAACCCAAACCCGGCCCAAAACCCGTCAACACTGGTTTTGCCCACGTTGACCGGGTTGGGTCGGGTAGGGTACCCGTGGGTTCGGGTTTTGTTGCCATCTCTACTTGCAAGTCACTGTAACTTGAAGAAAACGGTCGACCTCTTCCAATAAGTGGTTAACCACTTTTCAAGAAAATAGTCAACTTCCTCCACAAAGTTGTCTACCACTTGAGTCATCCAATCTACCATTTTCAGAAATGGGTCGACCTAATGACACACTTACCTTCAAGCGGTTGACCTCTTCCACCAAGTGGTCGACCACTTTCCAAGAAAATGGTCGACATCTTCCATAAATGATCTGCCACTTGAGTCATCCGGTCTACAACTTCCGGAAATGGGTCAACCTGATGACACACTTACCTTCAAGTGGTCGACCTCTTCCACCAAGTGATCGACCACTTTCCAAGAAAATGGTCGACCTCTTCCACCAAGTGGTCTACCACTTGAGTCAACTGGTCTACCGCTTCGGGAATGGGTTAACCTGATGACACAGTTACCTTAAGTGGTTGACCTCTTCCACCAAGTGGTATATCACTCGAGGCAGTAGTCTACCGCTTCTGGCAATGGGTTGAGTTGTGACACACTTACCTTTAACTTACAATAGCTTGTTGGAGGAGGTAGACCGCTTCCGCAAAAACAATCTACCTATCCCGCAAAATGGTCTACATATATCTTCGTCAAATGATCTCCTCTTTCGGCGAACAGTCGACCAGATAACATAGTTACCTTATACTTATATTAGGAAAATAATGAACAATAGGAGACCAACAATATAAAATTGTTTTTTTTATAGTGATGCAACATCTATCAATTGTGGGCAACCAAATCCCTACGCAGATTATAAGCCAAAACAAAAAAAAACTCCATTTTTTTACTCTTATGGAATAAAAATCCACAAAAGCGATAATATGAGATTTATGTACGTCGAAGATGCATAATTGTATAACAAATATAATATACTTTTTGAACATCTTCATTGTAACAATAGCAACAAAGTTGATCCATCACAAGACAATTATAGGATAGAAACAAGAAAACTTAGAATTTGAAGGAAAGTGAAAATCTCTATAAAATAAGTCAAATATAAGAAATAAATATGCGGATTATTTTTCAAATATACAGGAGAACAATCATTCGAGAAATGTGTCATCTATGCTTGCAGCCTTTGTACTAATTTTTAATCTCTTACTAGAAAGCTGATATGATCCCAAATTTTCAACCCTTCACGTCACAATTACTTGACGAAGAAGCTATCGAAGTTGAGAAGAAGAAAGGCAGAATTTGGCTAAGTCATTTTTCGAGTTCATGGTACCTACTTTGGAGGCTTATTCTCACAATTGGCTCACTGGAAATTGGATGTTGAGAGTTTGTTTTGAAGATAAAGTTTCCCTCCACAAGATGGTGTGGTTTATGGATCCATAAGAAGCCATTAAGTCCATTTTCCAGACTTCCAAAGATGCTATATGGTAAGCTGAAAACTGCGTGAAAATGGCTAAAAACTAGTTTGTGAAGCCTACTTTGGAGCTCAATTCAAGGAGCATGGATCTGATTCGAGTCCAAAGGCTTCCACAACATGAAAATAGGTATGTTTATCTACCAAGGGAAGGCATTTGATGAATGATTGGATATCTGGAAGACTTCGAATGAAAGGCACGAAGTAAGTACGAAAGTTGTGTTTGGACTATTTGCTGGCAGCTTGTGCTTCAAGAAAGAGACTTTGAGTTTGAAAATTGTAACATTTTTAGATTAGTCTTTTAATTGAATTGTTCCTTGTTATTTTAGGATTGTATTAGGTTTTATTTGCCTTTATTTACATTTCTTTTTCGTTGTAAAATACAGAATTTGATGAATTAAAACCCTAGTGTTTACTAGTTGCAAGTTTGCGTACTTGTGGGAGTTTTGGTGGATTCCAAGCTCGTGAGCTCTTGTATCGATTGAATAGTCACTTCAATCATGGTTGGGAAACTATCCTTATATCAATCGAGCCTTTCCCCAGGTTTGGACTTGCACGTTTGATTCCGTTTTATCCCAAACACCCAAGAACATACGTTTTTTGTTCGAGATTCATTTTAATCAATCCAATTCTTGGATTGATTGTTTTGTTGCGTACTTTGATAAAAATCCAACCCCCCAGGGTTGTATCAAGTGGTATCAGAGCCTGTTTCAAATCATTGGACAAGAGAAGAAGAGTACAAGCTTTTCTACAAGCTCTGACAATGGCATAAAAGTTAGGGCAAGGTAATCTGTTCTACTCTCGTTGTTTGGTTCAAGAGAAATTTTGTTCTGTGGTTGTTGATGGAGAGATCAAATCTAATTTGATCAGTTCAAGGGCAGTAGGTAAGTTAGGGCTAACTACACAACAACATCCTAGCCCTTTCTTATTGCGATTGTCGATGGAGGATGCCTTTGTGTATGTGATTTAACAAGTGATTTTGGAGATCAAAATCGGGTCTTATGAAGATCAGATTATTTGTGATGTTCTATTAAGCTTAATCATGTGGTACTTGTCACACCCGCTCTTTCTTAAACTATTTAATTACATCTATGTCATGAGTAAGGATTTAACTATGTGCCACATTTGATTAACTAGTGCTCAGTGATGGCGACGAACGTATTTCGAGACTAGTTATTTACCTAAAATTACAAATAATAGGAAAATCATCGTAATAAATTAGAATAAAAAAAAGAAATTATATTGTTATGTTACAATCTCCCTTGACATGTATTTGAATTTGGTTAAGTGTAGGGGAGTGGGAAAAGAGCCAACCTCATTTGGTTAAGGGAAACCGAGTAAGTTCCACTAAGGCAAGGGAGAGGAGTTATTACCTTGGACATCTCTGGTTGCTGACAGGCAGAAGCTCCCCTTCCCAAACCAAAATATAAAGTGAACATGTAGCAACTATTGTTGCAGGAATTGAATGATTTAGGAGGTGGATGGGTTAGCTTAGAAGGGAGGGAGTGGCAGGCATTTCTCATTTCATCCATCCATCCTCTTTGAACGAGAGAGAGAGAGAGAGAGAGAGAGAGAGACATGCAAAAAACTTCTCATAGCTTTCCTTTTCCTCATTGATATCTATTGTTATCATCCTGGGTCGGTTGCATCAGTAGAGGAAAATTAGAAGAAGACAGTTACTTAAGGTAAGACCTTTCTCTTTGTAATGGGTCTAACAGAATGAGAAGAAAGGAAGCAATTAGTGGGCGGTTGTTCAATGTTCAGGTGGTGGTAATATGGGTTTTTCACCAAGTCTCTCTTTAGTGGAAGGATAAATGACGCTTTTATATTAGAGGGGAGGGTTTCGTCCCATGTTGGGATGATAATGGGATAGATGTGAGAATTAGTATACCCGTACACGAAGGGGGTCAAGGAAGTAGTTGGGTAATTAAAATAGCTATTATGGATTTAAAGTCAATTAATTGTGTAGGCGTGTGAGAATGTGGTATGTTTATGCATGGTTTTCAATGGGAGCTCTCTGGGAAGACTTAGTGTACAGGGTTATATATATAATCTTTGTTCGTGTATTAAGGGAGTTGCTAAAGGTCGCCCTTAGAATTGCTAAAGATCGCCCTAAAAAAGTTTAAAGTTACACTTATAACCCCCTATCTTCTTTACCTTCCTTTTATCAAACAAACACCACTTGACCTAAAAAAAACTATCTAAGGAGAGAAAAATCCATCATCGTCATTTTGAAGCCGATATCGTCGGTAGGACGTCTGAATCATGAGTAGCGACTCCGACGAGGTAAATACCGAAACTGAAAAACGAAAAAAAAAAAACCAAAAAATGCCCAACCGCAATTGACCTGCGGTTGGACCATGGCCGGACCGCAAATCCCCTGCGGTTGAACCATGGACGGACCGCAAATCCCCTGCGGTTGAACCATGGCTGGACCGCAATTGACCTGCGGTTGGACCATGGCTGGACCGCAAATCACCTGCGGTCCAGCCATGGTCCAACCGCAGGTGATTTACGGTCCGGCCATGGTCCAACCGCAGGTCACTTGCGGTTGGGCATTTTCTGGTTTTTTTTTTCGTTGAATAATTTTCTATTTTTTATATGATTTGTTGGGTTTTGATTTATATAATTTTCTAGATTTATTTGCATAATTATTTTTGGAATTGAAGGATTTAGCATTAGAAATTAAGATTAGATTTGGCCTTAAATTAAGATTAGATTTAATTTGGTCTTAATCTAGAAAATTAAGATTAGATTTTGCATTACAAATTAAGATTAAATTTATTGCATAAATAATAGATTCGCATTAGAAATTAAGATTAGATTTGGACTTAAATTAAGATTAGATTTAATTTGGTCTTAATCTAGAAAATTAAGATTAGATTTTGCATTACAAATTATTATTAGGGGTTGTTTGTTTGTTTGAATTTTGAAATTTAAGTTAGGGGTATATAGGTAATTTTATATTTAAGTTAGGGCGATGAATAGCAATTTTAAGGGCGACGTTTAACGATTCAGTATATTAATGGTGCTAATTCATCAAGGTGGGTTGTTAGAGGGTAATAACATGCATAATCATTATCTTACGACAAGTGCGAGCACAGGTAAGGTGATGGAATTTATGGGTGGATTAAGGGTAAATCTTTTGTATACAATAGTGGGTTAGAAGTTATTTATGTATGCGCTAGGAGTTCAATGAAGTATTTTTAGTTTTAGGAATAATTATACCTTGAATACATGAGATTGGTTCTTAAATATGACAAGTATAATAATTTTTAGTAGTACTAAATCATCCGTTTATGACTTCTTGAAGGGGAAGGGCAAGTTGCAGAATCTTCTAGAGGCAAGAGTATAGCGGAGTAGCAAGTGTGTAGTGAGTAAATTCTAACCTAGTACCTTAATTAATACGAGCATGGTATTTGGGTCATGAAGCGGCCCAAACTCGAGGTAGCGAATTTAATTATAGTAAAGTGCGATTGCATGTGTGATAAAGTAGGTGTTGATGATTATATCATATGATGATGATATTGTGTGATTTCAATGGGGAGAATGATAAGAATGTTGATGAGATGCGTATAAAGAGGCACGAAAGGCCTCCGTGATGATGATAACGATGCTGATGAAGTTAATGATGACAATGATGTTGTTATTGATAATGGTGATGCATGTGATGTGAATGATGTTTATGGATTTGATATGAGATTAAATGAATGTGTGTTTCTTAGTATGTGTGTATTAAACGGTTAGTCATGCACCCGGAGAAAATGATGATGTGATAAGTCCTCAGTAAGGACGTTGTGTATATATTCGGCTATGTGCCGATTGCCCAGCCTATGGGAGGAAGTCACCGATGCTTTAGGTCGGCGGAGGTGGGGGAGCCTAAGCATCGAGGAGGAGGTGGAGGAGGAGGTGGGAAAGAAGCTGATGGTGCATGACTAGGCGGGAATGGGTGATGGATGCTTGTATGTGCATATGCTTGTTGTGAATCATTTATGTGTGTGTGTTGTGATGACGATATTTAAATGGGTATGATCCTATTAATGAATTTGTGTTGGTTCTAAATGTGTCTATGTGCGAGTGGCGAATGTTTATAGAGGTAATAGTATACCGAGAGAAAGAAGGGTATAACGTTAACCGTGATTGCTCAATACCTTTTTTATGTTAATTACGCTACTAGGTTAGTTTTTACTCATTGAGGTGACGTCTCACCCCCATCAAATTTTTTACCAGATTAGAAGTTTCGGACTAGAAGTCAAAGAAACTCAACAAGGCTCAGCTCGGCATCAATGAGGTGGGATGATGGACTCCGATTCCGGCATGACTTGTTTATAGTGTTTTGAGAGAATATGGTCTTCTCTACTGTCATGTGTTTATAAGTTTTAAATGTTTATGTAAATTACGGTTTGGTTTATAAGCTAAATAGAGTTGTAAAAGGTTTTAATCGATATGATCATGTTAATGTTTTAAAAATATGTATGGGTGTTATACTACTTGGTCAACATGGCACAATGATCACCAAGCACGACGAAGCAGCCGCACCAACAACATCATCTTAAGGCATCAAGAAAAGAAACTTGCCTTGAAGCCATTATCTTTGGAAGAGGTTGCTGAAGATAGGAGGCAACTACAACAAGCTTATGAGGAGGATCAGAAGGTCGAAGAACCAAGAACATCCTCATTTTTTGTTCATTCAACCTTTGAATTGATTCGTTGTTGCGTAATTCTGATGAAAAGCATCCCCCTGGTGCTTTATAAAGTGGCATCAGAGCCGTAGGTTCAACGCAAGGGCGAGGAAGAAAACAAGAGATCTTGTGTTGCTTCGTACAAATTTCACGACCTGTCGAGAAACAGAGAGGAGCAGACTCTGTTTGGAGTTTGTTTCGCCAGAAAGTCAGTTGTTAACAAGACAATTGAGAGTCGAAAAACATGGGCGATCAGCAGCTCGGTCTGGAGAAGAGTCCTCCTACTGATCGCTCTCCTGAAGTAGCTCGTCAAGTGACTTCCCTTCCTGCAGTTTGGTCAGGAACAGAGCAAAGGGACTGCTTGTTTCACACACACTATTATGTCAAAGGAAAATTCTCGCGGTTGTTATGGACACCGGAATCTATACCACGTAATCATTGTCAAGGCGGTGAGAAAGCTGGGATTGCGCACTATGAAACACAAGAGTCCTTATTCGCTGCGTTCACTCAATGAGTATGGCGACGTGAGAGTCACTAAACAGGTCGTCGTTGCGTTTGAAATTGGGTCGTACAAGGATTAGATCCTTTGCGACGTTGCCCCAATGTAGGTGGAACACCTTATGCTAGCCGACCATGGCAATTTGACCGATCCGTAACTCATGATGGTCGAAGAAATAACTACAAGGTAAGACATGAAGGGAAGCTATTTTTGCTTAAACATCTGTCGCCGTCTGAAGTTCGAGATGATCAGCAGCATATGGCGCTGAATTGGGCAAAAGAGATTGGTGATTCATGTAGCCCGAAGTCAGAGGAAGAGAGTAGAAGCAGTTTAGCTGCTCGACACTACATGTTGACTTCTCTTGAAGGACGTCGAGTCAGGCAATCCGTAACAGCTGGCCACCCCTGTTTGGCGGTAACGAAACAGAGTAGGAGAGAGGGATATCTCGGTGGGAGAGTCGATGAAGAGTCAAACCCAGCTGGAGATGCCGACATGTTCCCTAAAGCCCTGGGAAGCTTTTCTGACAGTTGTATTGAATCAAATTGTTCGATTCACATAATCCCAATCGAGCAGAAATTGCCCTGAAAACGCTCCCTCAAGAACAAAAATCGAGCGAGTTGGTGGAGCGAACCGGGAAGAATCGACACCAACGACCACTTCAGAATCATCGCAATCAGTCCCCAGATGCTTTAACTTTGATCGATTTGAGACAAAGAGGCCTGAATAAAAAACGCCTATTTGCATATCTCGGGTCTAAACATGAAGAACCACCACCAGAAAATTGATGAATTGGTTGTGGAGTTTGAGGGCGATTCGGAGCAAGCAGCCACTTCGAAGAGGTTGCTAGTGTCCCAAGGAAGGTGTCGGGATCAAGAACTCGGCACGCCAACACCAGAATCAACAACTACCAATTGTCAATTTGCCTCGCTGGAATCTGGGTTCGTGTCGCCGGAATCTGGATTTTTCAAATTTTCCGGCGTGGAAAATTCGTGGGATGTGATTGGAAACGAATCAGGAAAATTCAAGGCATGGGAATGGCTTGAATCGATTCTTGGGACGAATTCGATCTCAAAGGTTTGAGAAGAAATGCCCAACTTTGGAGCCCTCGCCAGGAAACACGAACTCGCTTTAATCTGCAATTTTTTTGCCGGAATTTAGAAATTTGCACGAGCCAATTCTGGGTCCTATTTATTTCAATTACTTCGTAGGAAAGGTCCCTTGGAGTCCTACGAAGATGCTAGAAATGATTGGAGCTGAAATTGAATGAGTTATTTTTCTGCCGAAAAAGATATTTGTGCAGCCCTCTTTCAATCAAATTTGGGATCAATTCTATGACGATTTTGACGAGGAATGATCAAGCTTTGAGAGCAAAGCTTTTTAAAGAAGGGGGCCTGATATGATTCCAAATTTCCAACCATTCACGTCACAATTACTTGACGAAGAAGCTATCGAAGTTCGGAAGAAGAAAGGCAGAATTTGGCCAAGTCATTTTCCGAGTTCATGGTACCTACTTTGGAGGCTTGGTTCTTTCAATTGGCTCGCTGGAAATTGGAGGTTAAGAGTTTGTTTTGAAGATAAAGTTTTCCTCCAAAAGATGCATATTTTTTGTATCCAGAAGAAGCCATTAAGTCCATTTTCCAAATGTCCAAAGATGCTATCTGGAAAGCTGAAAACTGCCTGAAAATGGCTAAGGCAGAAAACTGGTTTCTGAATCCTACTTTGGAGCTAAATTCAAGGAGCATGGATCTGATTCTAGTCCAAAGGCTTCCACAACATGAAAATAGCTATATATCTACTAAGGGAAGACATTGGATGAAAGATTGGATATCTGGAAGACTTCGAATGAAAGGCACGAAGTTAGTACGAAAGCCGTTTTTGGACTGTTTACTGGCAGCTTGCTTGTGCTTCGAAAAATAGAGTTTGAGTCCGAAAATTGTAACCTTTTTAGAGTAGCCTTTTAATTGAATTGTTACTTGTTATTTTATGATATTTGCCTTTAAATACCTTTCTATTTCGTTGTAAAATACAGAATTTGATGAATTAAAACCCTAGTGTTTACTAGTTGCAAGTTTGCGTACTTGTGGGAGTTTTGGTGGATTCCAAGCTCGTGAGCTCTTGTATTGATTGAATAGTCACTTCAATCGTGGTCAAACAACTATCCTCATATCAATCGAGCCTTTTCCCAGGTGTGGAATTGCACGTTTGATTCCGTTTTATCCCAAACGCCCAAGAACATCTGTTTTTGGTTCGAGATTCTTTTTAATCAATCCAATTCTTGGATTGATTGTTTTGATGCGAAGTACCTCAGCTGGATGGCATCGGCTGGGACCCAATTTATCTTGATCCCATCAATGAGCTCGTGGAATCGCCTCAGATGTGATCGGGGGCACTCCCCCTCTTTGCCACGGAATACTACCGAGCCGCACAACATAGTGATGACCGAGGTGCTCACCTCAAAGTTGTTGGCTGGGACTTGAGGGTGCTGAATGGGCGACATCATGTCCACGGCTGTGGCGGTCCAGTAGTACCCCATGGTATGCTCATCGGTGACAAGCGCATTATCAACATGATCCCCCATGTCTTCCTCTTGGTGTATGTGTAGCTGCTCCAAAGCTTCCTCCGCAACCAGTCGTGCCTTCAAAGCTCGCTTGAAGTTTCTGCATGTCCGTTCGAGCTCTTGGTCTAACGGAAATAGATCTCCCGACTGACTATGGGTCATGCACTACCTGCACACAGACTGCAACACAACCCGTGAGGGCAAACATGTGGAAGAGAGAGAAAATCAGTAAAGAAAATGCTAAAGTAATAGACTTGCGCGTTTCTACAATAACCTAGGGTCTCCGGCAACGGCGCCAAAAACTTGACACGCTAAAACACAACACCAAACTACGACCAAGTGTAAACGCAGTCCAGAAATGCAGAATAGAGACAAGTTCTAATTATCAACCCGGGGTCTAGATCTACTGTCTAGTTTGTGGTTATCTATTATCTAGCAATCTAAGTAGAGCGATTGTGAGTTTAAGCAAAAGTAGTAAGAAAGCAGTAAATGGTTCAAAGTTCTTTAGCAAGAGAAGAGTCACTCGGGAATGAGTCCCCTTAGCTCCTTAGTAAGGTCACAGTTGTAATTACCCTGGATTGATTAACTGTTGATTAAACTGCAGAAGATCCGAAAGTAGCTTGGAATCTCTTAAGCTGGCCAAGCCCTCTCAGTCCAACTACGAGACAGACGACTAGTCTTCACCGGGATAGAAAGCTGAGGCTATGAACACAGAACTCCACTACTGGAATTGGATTCTAGTACAAAGCAGTAAATCGCTTAACTCTCGTATAATCAATCTACCACTACCGATTGATGAAGCTCTAACAACCTAATCAGATTCTATCTATCTCAGGTTGCTGCAGAAATAAAGAAAAGATGATCAGGCTTTAATTAGCTCAATGAATCATGCATCAATCGATTAAAATCAATCAGTATAACAATCCCAAGTCATTACAATCAAGATCCCTAACACATGGAACTAGGGTTCTTCATACCCAAGTGAAAGAGGGTTCTACTCCATAGAGAGAGAGAGAGAGAAAAACAGAAATCAGAGTAGTCGTACTCATAAAGATGAGGAAAATCTGCTCTAGGATGATGATCTTCACTCCTACGATGATCTCCAAGCTTGATTGATGAAACCCAGCTCCAAAATCACTCTAGGGGTGTGTTCTTCGCACTTTCTCTATCTAGGGCTCTGTTTCTTGCTCTAAAACTCGATCCCCCTCTTCAAAGACCCAAAATTGGGTTAAAACCCCAACTCTTCCTGACCACACGGTCAGGCCACACGACCGTGTGGAAATTCCAGCTGCCCGTGTGGCTCTCAAAACACCGCGTTTTGGTTAAGTGACTCCAAGTACGCTACACGGCCATGTGGAATTTAGGTCTGCCCGTGTGAACTCTCTGGACATCCCACACCGCCACAAAGGGTCCATTACACGGCCAGTGCAATTTGACGGTGCAAAGTGGTGCCACACGGCCAAGTAACACGGCCTTGTGGAATTTTAGGCGTGCCCGGGTGGGTTCCTCAGCTTCTCGCCAAACGTCCAATCTTCGCCCAATCGACCCCGAACTCGTTCTCAAACCTTCATTCACGTACTAGGACCTGAAATATCACAAACAAGAACAACCTAGCGTGAAATCGGCCTAAAACACGAGAAATAAGACTCAAACGATATAAGAATGGTGGACACAAACATGTGTATATATCAAGTCATCAGTTACTCTTTGGATCACTAACAACCTTTCCTGATCCTGATATGTCCTTTGCAGAGTGGTTCTTTAGCCTCAAGGATCAAATGCCGGATGAGCAGATTGCCCGCCTTGTCTACTGTTTATGGAGTATTTGGAAGGCTCGAAATGGTTTCATCTTTGAAAGCAGGGCTATTTCCCCACCCAACACGACAACTTTAGCTAATCGTGAGTTCATGAACATCAACAAAGCTAGAGAGACAACCTCACTGTCCTCAAACCTGAGATCAGCTAGTTGTCCTTCTCAGCCTAGGGGATCCTGTCGAAACCCCTCACCACCGCCTGGCCCTTTTGAACAAATTGTGCACTGTGACGACTCCTTTGTTTCGGAGTCTCAATTGGCGGCTTGTGGGATTACCATTGATGATGCCCACGGTCAGGTGATTGACGACAAGGCTGAGAGATTCTATTGTTTCTACCCGATTCAGGCAGAAGCATTTGCTATTCTGGGTGCTGTGGTGTTGGCGGCCCAAGAATCCTGTCCGACGTGTATCAAAAGCGACTGCCAACGTTAGATTGTGGCTCTTAATCAAGACCCATGCGATTGGCCTTGGCAATGTCGTGCGACCCTGGCCCAGATTGTGTCTCTTCTTCAGGGGGCTCCTTGGATCAAGTTGTCCTTCATTCCTCGGCGATTGAATTCTCTTGCGGATTGGGTCGCTGGGAATGCTCGACTTGATCTCTTACCATAGGATTGGATTGTCATTGCAAATTTCGCCCCTGTTGTAAACGTTTGTTTCTGCTGGTCTGGTTAGGTATAATAGAAGATGTTTCATTATAAAAATAAAATTATATATCACACTCTCAACTGTGATGGTAATCCTCCAAATATTCCACATGTACCTTTATTCTTTAGACGTCATTAAGAAGGATTGTCGAAAAACTTAAACTGGTTGATAGATTATAAACATAACATAAAAATATATACTGAAATATGAACATGCATAATGTTATCCTCATTCGGCCAACAGGTCGGTTTATAAACTAGTAATCAATGTGATACACGGTTATTATTTTAAATGGTAAATGTCAAGTTTGGTCACTAGGTTTACTTAAATGTGTCATGTTTAGTCATTGAAAAAGTTAATATCAACCACAAATACCTTGAACTAGGGGTGGAAGTTTGGTTTACGGGTTGCGGGTAACCCACAAACCGCCCCAAACCGCACACTTTGTGGATACCCATACCCACAATTTGTGGATAGTGGGTTGGGTGTGGGTAGCAAAATATTGATTTTTGTGGTTAGTGGTTAACCACTACCCACGGCGGTTTACCCTCAAAACTCACAGTAGTTATGTTAGTTTGTGAAACTTGGAAGACTAAGAATTAAGGTATCTTGAGTGATATTGGAGCTTCATTGGAGGCTTGGATTGACAAGGATTTAAGCCTAGAAGAAAAAGAAGAAGAAGATCTTGAGCTCAAATTTGTAATCCCTCTCTTCTCTCTCTAGAAAGTCACCCTCTAGGTCTAGATTTGGATTTAATGTTGATGTATGTGACACATTCCTTGTTTGATTGACAATTTTACTTAATTGATGGATGTTTTCATGATTGGTATGAGTTGGGTTTCCATTTTCATGTATTGAGCTTTTGACCTATGAGGGAGATAATCCCCTTAGATCCCCTTTTGGCGTCTTCGGGTCACTCCTATCGTATATTGTCCGGGTACTCCCCGAGGGAATTTATTCGACCGGTTTCCTAGCATTATACAAAACCCTTGGTTGAATAGAGCACTACCCATCCATCGCTATTACCAAACTTTCCGGAGAAGGTCAACCGTCAGTCACCACCCACACGTTGGAAAAAGTAACTCGAAATTCTTACGTAAGCCAACTTAATCCTCTTAGGATTCCGAAATTCTTACGTAAGCCAAACAGCCCCACGTTCATAAATAGGACAGATTAGGTGGCTTATTCTTCAAGACCTCATAGGGTGACTCTTTTCTATTCGTTTTTGGAAGACGATTTAGCACATAGCAAACCGTCAACAAAATATCACCCCACTAAGAAGAAGCAGCTCCAGAATTAAGCATTATAGCCACAATTAATTCTGTAAACGTCCTATTTTTTCGCTCAGCTTTACAATTCATTTCTGGTGAATATGGTGCCGTTGTTTCATGAATGATACCATGTGAGCTATAGAATTCCTTGAAGGTATTAGAGTCATACTTTGATCCTCTATCACTCCTAAGTCGTTTTATTTTTCGATTGCACTGATTTTCAAATTCAACCACAAATACCTTGAACTAGGGGTGGAAGTTTGGTTTGCGGGTTGCGGGTAATCCACAAACCGCCCCAAACCGCACACTTTGTGGATACCCATACCCACAATTTGTGGATAGTGGGTTGGGTGTGGGTAGCAAAATATTGATTTTTGTGGTTAGTGGTTAACCACTACCCACAGCGGTTTACCCTCAAAACCCACATTCACCACATTAGTTATATTAGTTTGTGAAACTTGGAAGACTAAGAATTAAGGTATCTACTAAATCAAATACGTACTTATTCTATAAAACACAACCAAGTAAATACGCAATGTTCGTGTGAGATACTTTTATCAAATAAGCATTGTCTGTGTGGCAGGAGCAGAGCCAAGATTTGGCGTTCAGGGGCCGAGATTCTTTTACTATATTGTCACAAAATGGTGTAAAAAATAATAAAAGAAAATTTATTTTTGATATTATGATGACTATACGCAATGTTCGTGTGAGATACTTTTATCAAATAAGCATTGTCTGTGTGGCAGGAACGGAGCCAAGATTTGGCGTTCAGGGGCCGAGATTCTTTTACTATATTGTCACAAAATGGTGTAAAAATAATAAAAGAAAATTTATTTTTGATATTATGATAACTATACTTTTAAAAATGATTAAAGTCATTAATAATTGGAATTAAACTAAAAATTCATAGCATGATAAATTCCAATTCATAATAAGGTATAAAATAACAATTTACTCATTATCTACTAAAAATGTCATTAGTTTCTAGTTTTAAAACTTAATTGATCTAAAAGAATTGAGAAGAAATAAAATATACGAACTTAACTAATCTAATGTTAAAGGACTAAAAAAAAAATTACAGCATTAAATGATCCCTTTAAAGTAAATTTTAAAATCTAATTCTGAAAACAAAATTGTCCTGAGCAGGGTTTGAACGCTTGAAGCTATGGTTTGTAGGAGATATTATCATCCGCTGGACTACAGAACATTCATATTTCTTTTATGCACACTAAAGCTACTTATACGTTGTAAATTCAGTTTATATGAAAATTTCGACAAGCTTATGAAATTTACATGTAACTTTTGAAATTCTGGGGGAGCCGGGCCTCCAGAGAGCAGCTGTAGCTCCGCCCCTGTTGTGTGGTATATGTTTATTTTGTAACAAAATCTAGTTCATAGATATAGTTAGATAAATTAATCGATTCGTTAGAAGAGGGGAATAATCAATAAAGGTTAGTTTGATGACAAAACTCGTCTCCATTTCTCCACGAACTCACCAACAATACAACATGCAACTAGCTAACAAGAATACAAGACTATAATCGAGAGTGGAGAATAATTGATTCATTAAAAGCGGGTGCCTCCACTTATCGAGCCACTTTTGTGTTTTGTTGTTGTTGCCATCGGAGGAGCTGTAACATGCAACGATATTTATCTGATAACATGTCACTCTGTCTCTCCGTAATCTTAAAATCTCTTTCCAAATCCATCTCTTATGAATTTACACTAACTAACCTCTTGTATTCGAGATTTACAATTTATTTAACACTTTAATAAATTTCTTTTATGTATGTTTTTGCTTTTGTGCGAGAAGAAACACAACTTCACTATTTAATTACCATATTATTTTATTTAATGATGAAATTTTTGTGGGTATTCACAACCAACCCGCAGCGGATAGTGGTTAACCACTATCCACCGTGGGGCGGGTTGTGGGTAGCATAATACTATATTTGTGGGTGTGGTTACCCGCAAATGTGGTGATATTATTTATTTATAAGATAGATAGAAATTTAAATTAGTATAAAAATCCAATTATAATAATCAAAATATGAAAATCCAAGTATCAAAACACCAAATAAGTACTTACGGAAGATTCGGTGGCCAGCTCATTGTTAAAAAAAGTCATATGGTTTTCATATTTTAGGTTCATATATGTTTTTAATTTAAAAAATACAGCAAATATACTTAGTGTGATTGCTTATGATCATTGCTTTTCTTTAAAGTGGTCATGGTTCGAATCCCGATACGTGCTCTTTTTATGAATAAAAAAAGAGTAATTGTGAAGACCAAAATGTCCTTCCTAATTTCACTCTCGTTGCAGGAAATTTGAAAAAGAGCAACAGTTTTCCCCTTCCTGCTAATATATATTGTGTAGAGATGTCTATATCGTTAAGGACAATAATAACGGGGCAATACTTGGCTACTACCCTGGTTGCAACGCTGTCTTGCATCCAACACACGTGTAGGTCATTCATTTGTTTCTTTTTTGATTTTTTGTTTCTCAAATGTTGGGTTTTTTCATTTTGATTTTTAATGAGATTAATAATGAAGTAGATAATAATTTTTTTAATTTCACCCAATATTTTAACATTCACACGTATACTCACATTACATAAGATGAAAAGTACAACAATAAATCACTAAAATGAAAAGGGGGTAATTAAAATTTAAAAGAACACAATTTTAAAAAAATATTATATTTGTATGCTAAATATAAAATATGTTAGAGATAAATAATGATTATTTCTATATAAAATACATATGCATGTATATAATCGGACGGATTCGAGTTGGATAGTAAGAAAACCATGCCCACCCATTTCCACAATATTCATGTTCGAATTTTACCTGTACCCACTAAAAATCTTTCAGGTTTGGGTTTTACCCTAACCATTTAGGCTGGATTCAGACGAATATCCACAAGTACGAATATTTTTGTTATCCCTAATCACGATACTATGAAAATATACAATATTCTCGTACGGTACCCTAGTTACAACTCAATAAAACGTTAATTCAATTATTGTTTTAAACTCTCAATAATTCAAGATTCCATGAATAATTAAAAAAATTCACTAGCCATATAAACGGCTTCTGTCACTTACCATTAGCAACTCTCGGAAATTAAAATGAAGGACAACAATTAACTAAGAAACCTACAAACACTAAACAGACGAATAATACATGAACGCGTGTGTTGGAAGGAAAGCGTTGCAACCAGGGTAGCAGCCAAGTATTGCCCATAATAACGTACTAGCCTATTACCCGGCCCGTTGGCCGGATTACTGTATGTTACCCACTTGTGGAATAGGAGAGAAAGCAAGTGAGAGTAAAGGGATTGAGATTCCACTTGATTAGGATCGACCCACTAATCTGATTCTTCCCGACCCGCCCCAACCTAAAGGGTCAGAAAGAGTCAATAAGAAAATACGAACGGAGAGGATTAGTCATACTCGTATATCTTGACTCTTCAGAAGTGGGTCAAACAGGATCAAGGTTGGGTGAGGGAAATTTTTAGCGCTAAGCAGAGTTCTGGGTTGAATAACTTTACTTAGGCCTAGAAATTTGTGCTGATGCAGACTGCAATTTTTATTATACCATCATCAATCATCATTGAATTAGTCCTGGGCATCCCTCCCCGTTGTCGGTCTGAATTCTAATGATGGCTTCGTTCCTTGCACCAGCCATATCAGCGAGTTGTCATCTCGAGCATGATTTGCCTATGTACAAATGATACAATTAGAGTATGAAACAAAATTCAAAGAAAATGAAAAGAGA